AAGCGAAAAATGGAACTAAAGCTTTTAATTTAATTGCAAAATTAAATTGGGGGCTTTAGCTTCTATTTTTGAAACATGGTTAGAACTGTGTAGCAGAAAAAACCATATTTTAAATAAATTAATTTATATAATATATATATATATATATATATATATATATATATATATATATATATTATATGGTAGTACAATTTATAGTATAAATTCCTGTCTAAGGTATTGTTATTGTTAATTTGTAAGAACAGGTAAGCGTTGTGAAAGAATGTTTTCTTTTAAGCACCAATAACAATATAAATTGTATAAAATTTATTTGTTTCAATTATGGGTAACATTTCAAGTTTAATAACTTTTTCCTTTTAAATTTATATCAATAAATTTTCTCATCAAAATCTCATAATCTGGCCAATTGTGGAAGTGCCACAGATGATTTGGTAACTAGTTCCTTCCGTTTCTGTTCAGAGACTTATTTAATAGGAAAAAAATTCTGAACTTTATTTAAATTAGTAAATAATCTCTTAAACATTCAAAAAATATTATCTCCCCTTGAGCAAACTTAACTCTTGTCACTAGGCAGTGACTAGTATTTTTAGTTACAATTTTGGTATATTTTTATAATTTAGTTTTTCACCAGGAAACCAAGAACTTTCAAATTTTTACATTGATGAGAACTAATGATGAGATAAGTTCCTGTCAAATTTGAGGTATGTGGATTGTGTAATTTACAAAATATATTTAAGAGACTTTTTTTTTTATCTTACTGATTAAAAAAAAAAAAAAAAAAAAAAAAAAAAAAAAAGTACACCCAACAACCCAATCCAAATTGGTGAAGGTGTAGATTAAATAAAGGGTTCAGTCCAGAATTCAGTGTAGGTTACCCAGATCAATATACACCTGAGAAAGGTGGGAGAACACAACGGCTGAAATGTGATAACAAAAAAATGAAGACAAAATTTGAATACAAGTAGTGAAAGTAAATACATAAATGATCAGGAAATATTCGCACCATTTACCCACTTCGGTTTAGCAATGAGGTAAGTCAACTTTTGCCCAAGACTATTGAGAAGCTATTTTTGCTGATTATAGAATCAGTTTTTCTACATTTACTGTATACATTTTTAGCCACATATTTCATTAACAAATTTAATGTAAGACAAGGTTTTGCAACAACAATAGAAATTTTTGTGCATTTTTTATAACACTGAATTTTGACATAATTTGACTGTGTTACAAGCAATACTTGTATTTTATTCCTAAGAAACATTATTGGAATGTATTCAGATATGTTTTAAATAATCTGTACATTGCTACCAAAGATCATTTTTCTAAAGGCTATATTTGTATTTTTGATATATCCTCTTGTGTAATACCCGTGTTTAAACACTTATATTGGAAAATGTTATATAATTTTATTGTTGAATTAATTATTATTTTAATATATTTTTAGTGAAATTTTTAGGTTTCAAAATCAATTAGCCTCTTTAGCATCTGCATACTTAAAACTAATTGCTTTCCTCTCATCTTTCCATATTTACTATTAAATGCTTCATTTTTGTTAGCTTCATAAGTTTTGTGTTAGATATGTCTTATTGTGAGCCTCAATTTTTTCTATAAGTTTCTTTTTACATTACATATAATTCCAGTAGTGGACCTACATTTTTGGGAACAATGAAGCTTGAACAGACATTGAAGCTTCTTTGTAACCAGCAACAATAGATTCGAAGATCCAACTGCCAAAATCTAGGCTATTAAGAGATTCTGGTAAGCTCAATGAGGCCATATAGCTGGAGGTTCAGGCGTTACAAGACTCCTGAAAAATTTTTTAAATTTGACCAAATATAGGGGATTTTTGAGGCCATATGAAATGAGTATTAGAGCATATTCTGAGGCCAATATTTGCTACTTCAAACCATTGGCTTATGATTCTATCAATAAAATATCCTAAAAAAGAAGAGAAAGAGAAAAAGAAGGAAAAAAAAGAAATAAGAGAGAGAAAAAGAAGGAAAAAAAAGAAATAAGAGAGAGAAAAAGAAGGAAAAAAAAGAAATAAGAGAGAGAAAAAGAAGGAAAAAAAAGAAATAAGAGAGAGAAAAAGAAGGAAAAAAAAATAAGAGAGAGAAAAAGAAGGAAAAAAAAATAAGAGAGAGAGAAAAAAGAAAAAAAAAAAAAAGAGAGAGAAAAGAAGGAAAAAAAGAAATAAGAGAAAAAAAAGAAAAAAAAAAAGAAGAGAAAAAGGAAAAAAAAAAGAAATAAGAGAGAGAAAAAGAAGGAAAAAAAGAAATAAGAGAGAGAAAAAGAAGGAAAAAAGAAATAAGAGAGAGAAAAAGAAGGAAAAAAGAAATAAGAGAAAAAGAAGGAAAAAAAGAAATAAGAGAAAAAGAAGGAAAAAAAGAAATAAGAGAAAAAGAAGGAAAAAAAATAAAAAGAAAAAAAAAAAAATAAGAGAAAAGAAGGAAAAAAAGAAATAAGAGAAAAAGAAGGAAAAAAGAAAAATAAGAAAAAGAAGGAAAAAAGAAATAAGAGAAAAGAAAGGAAAAAAAAAAATAAGAGAAAAGAAGGAAAAAAAAAAATAAGAGAAAAGAAGGAAAAAAAAAAGAGAGAAAAAGAAGGAAAAAAAGAAATAAGAGAAAAAGAAGGAAAAAAAGAAATAAGAGAAAAAGAAGGAAAAAAAGAAATAAGAGAAAAAGAAGGAAAAAAAGAAATAAGAGAAAAAGAAGGAAAAAAGAAATAAGAGAAAAAGAAGGAAAAAAAATAGAGAGAGAAAAAGAAGAAAAAAAAATAGAGAAAAAAAAGGAAAAAAAGAGAGAGAAAAAGAAGGAAAAAAAATAGAGAGAGAAAAAGAAGGAAAAAAAATAGAGAGAAAAAGAAGGAAAAAATAGAGAGAGAAAAAGAAGGAAAAAATAGAGAGAGAAAAAGAAGGAAAAGAAATAGAGAAAAAGAAGGAAAAGAAATAGAGAAAAAGAAGGAAAAGAAATAGAGAAAAAGAAGGAAAAGAAATAGAGAAAAAGAAGGAAAAAAGAAATGAGAGACAAAAAGAAGGGAAAAAGAAATGAGAGACAAAAAGAAGGAAAAAAGAAATGAGAGACAAAAAGAAGGAAAAAAGAAATGAGAGAGAAAAAGAAGGAAAAAAGAAATGAGAGAGAAAAAGAAGGAAAAAAGAAATGAGAGAGAGAAGAGAAAAGAAAGAAAGAAAAGAAAGAAAGAAAAGAAAAGAAACAATCCCAGAGGACTTCTCCCACTGGGATTATGGACTCTGAAGCTTAAGGTCCATTTGTTTCATAGTAGACCTACACTTGTTTTTTTTTTTATGCTATTCTTTTTATCAGTTTTCATTTAGCAAATTGAAGAAATAGTTTTGTATTTGCTGTGAAATGCTTATGCAGTTATTTGCCTTGCTGATACTGTTCTTACCAATTGCTAGCAATTATTTAGTCACTACTTTCTATAGACCTGTTCTCTTAATTCTGAAAACGTAATATAAACTTTTATATTTGCATGTCAGAATGCCAGAATGCTTTGTATGAATTGAAACAATGTGAAAACTTATCACATTGTATCGCATTACCCCTATTGTAGCCATTCACTACTCTGTTCACGTGATCATGGTGGATGCAATATTTCTTCAAGACCTTGGCCTTTTCTTCATTGCATTACCCCTCTTCCTTTAATTCAATATAATGAGTATATTTAGATTTATAATCAACCTAATTTCTCTTTAGTTGTTTGATCATTATTAACTTAATCTAAATACTCTTTGTGAACATTCTATAATACTTTTTATACTTTGTAGCAACTTGGAATTCATTTCCTTTTGATATATTGTACATAGCAAGCCCTGAAGATGTTATACACCCTTGTCATTTAAGTCGGCAACTTTTCGCCAAGAGGGGAGAGAGGAGGAAGAACGCAAGTCTCTGGTCCTTGTGACTATGGCGCTTGGACAAGTTCTGTATTGAGTTACAGCCCATTTATTTTTGTCTGCCAACTGGATGCTAGTTGGAAACTTTTCTGTCTACATTTACTTCTGGCATTCCTGGCTTTTATTATTTTCGGTTACCACAGTCCCTTATCTTCCGGCATTCTTGTTTTACTCCCGCCGTTTCTAACCTGTGCATGCACCAGCCACATCAGTTTTCTATTTTTGGCTTTCATTCCTGCACTGACCAGCACTTGCAACAGCCAAAAGTCCCTACTACTTCTAGGCATGCTCATACAATGGCTGCAACAGCCACTTAATGTAGGCTTTTCTAGACTTGCACAACTCTTTACTTCTGGCTACACATGGAGAGACCATCCTTAGTGTTCTTATTTCAATCTAAGTCACCTGGTTGATCAGCATTAACAAACTTGCTTACACAACAGCCCTGAACTTCTGGCTATGCATTGGTCCCTACTTCCAGAATTCCTATTTCAACCTAACTCACCTGGTTTCATAGGAAGTTGCTGCATGCATATCATCCAGATTTAACCAGCAACTACCCAGACATTAACGTGACATTGGCTTTTATTTTCTTGCCATTTCATCAGATTTTATCAATGCCTGCACTGAACAGTACAGCTATTTTGGCCTATCTTCAACTATCAACTTCTGGAATTTCCTTTCAACCTAACTCACTTGGTTTACTCAATACCAGCACCGGACATTGAAACTGAACGTTCTCTCTCCTTAGTTATATCATTCAGACTTCTTAGTAAAGTTTGTTTTTTTTTCTATCTCTCTTAATCCTGTCCTTCCAAAACCATTTACACAAGCTCATTTAGTAGGTTATGTGCTACTTTCCTTCCTTAATATGTCTTGTGAGTGTCAAATTTTCTAAGCCCTCTTTCCTCATTATGTGCCCTAGAAATTTCAACTGTCTCTTTTGGATGCTATGTATAAGTATCTTTTTTGTTTCCATTTTCTCTAAAACTTTGTTGAATTAGAGGAACAAAAAAAGGATTTTTTCTTAATCATTCCCACCTTTGTGTTAATGACAAAAGAGACTAATGCAGTTGTTAAACCTTTAAGAGAAATCCTTTATCATTTGAGTTATGATCTTCATGAAATCGCAAAGAGGAAAGAGCAAAGAGGAAAGAAAGAGAGGAAAGAGCAAAGAGGAAAGAAAGAGAGGAAAGAGCAAAGAGGAAAGAAAGAGAGGAAAGAGAGGAAAGAAAGGAAAAAAGAAAAAGAAAGGAAAAGAGCAAAGAGGAAAGAAAGAGAGGAAAGAGCAAAAGAGGAAAGAAAGAGCAAAGAGGAAAGAAAGAGAAAAGAGGAAAGAGGAAAGAGCAAAAAAGAGGAAAAGAGAAAGAGGAAAGAAAGAGAGGAAAGAGAGAGGAAAGAAAGAGAGGAAAGAAAAGAGGAGAGGAAAGAGCAAAGAGGAAAGAAAGAGAGGAAAGAGCAAAGAGAGAAAAGAGAGGAAAGAAAGAGGAAAGAAAGAGAAAAGAGGGGAAAGAAAGAGAGGAAAGAGCAAAGAGGAAAAAAGAGGAAAGAGCAAAGAGGAAAGAAAGAGAGGAGAGCAAAGAGGAAAGAAAGAGAGAGAGGAAAGAGCAAAGAGGAAAAGAAAGAGAGGAAAGAGCAAAGAGGAAAGAAAGAGAAAGAGGAAAGGAAAAGAGCAAAGAAAGAGAGGAAAAGAAAAGAAAGAGGAAAGAGCAAAGAGGAAAGAAAGAGAGGAAAGAGCAAAGAAAAAGAGCAAAGGAGGAAAAAGAAAAAGAGGAAAAGAGAGAGGAAAGAGCAAAGAGGGAAAAAAGAAAGAGAAAGAGAGAGGAAAGAGCAAAGAGGAAAGAGGAAAGAAAAGAGAGGAAAAGAGCAAAGAGAAAGAAAGAAAAGAAAGAGAGGAAAGAGAGAAAGAGAGAAAGAGCAAAGAGGAAAGAAAGAGAGGAAAGAGCAAAGAGGAAAGAAAGAGAGGAAAGAGCAAAGAGGAAAGAAAGAGAGGAAAGAGCAAAGAGGAAAGAAAGAGAGGAAAGAGCAAAGAGGAAAGAAAGAGAGGAAAGAGCAAAGAGGAAAGAGAGAAAAGAGAAAAAGAGAGGAAAGAGCAAAAGAGGAAAGAAAGAAGAGGAAAGAGGAAAGAAAGAGGAAAGAGCAAAGAGGAAAGAAAGAGAGGGAAAGAAAGAGAGGAAAGAAAGAGGAAAAAGAGGAAAAAAAAAAAGAAAGAGAGGAAAGAAAGAGAGGAAAAAAAAAAAAAAAAATTGCTATTGTTAATAAAGTTTGGTCTAATCTTTTATAAAACATGTTTGAAATGAATTAAAATATATTTCATATTTCTATAAGGCAGACTTAAATATGCAGGATAGACTGGGTCTTTGGCTGCCAACCATTCTACCACATAAAGTAATCACAGCTTACTGCAGTAATTCTTCAGCCAAGTCAATCATGAATCAAAAAGAGACATGATCACCCAAGCATGTATCATACATAGAACCTAATGAAGGAAGGTACAGTAAGAGGAAAAGAAAGATTCTAAACCAATTTGGTTGTGAAGACATTAAAATATACTGTGAAATATAGAAGATTAGCATTGTTGTGGCCTGTTTAGGGGCCAGAAAAGAAAGACACGGAAGACCAAGGTCAGTTGAAAAAGTATATTGAAGATATATACAAAACAATAGTGTTAGTAATAAGTAGATTAGGACTGTGTCTACTACTCCACACTCTGTGCTCCTGCCCGACTCTTGAAGTTTGTATTTATGAGAGAAGGAAGAGTTCATTATAGTGTAAGAGGGTTTACCACAACAAGCATAGAGTAAATTGATATGCTGAAAGCAAAAGAAAACAGTCAAATTTACCTTAATGGTTTGATAAGATCCGCTGTAGAGATGATTATGTGTTGCAACAAGGGCACGAACCCAGTGATTAAGACCAGTTATTTCCTTTTTTAGCTCATATGTCTGTGCATCCCATACCTACAGAAATGAAAAAAGCTTTTTAACAATTAACAAAAAATAATTTTTGTGAAACATCAACAACTATGTGAACATTTCCTAAATTTTATAAACAAATAAAGAACTTAATTTCTGTTTGAATTTCTGGAATGAAGATTTATTTTATAAATAGACTCATCTTTGTTGTTATCGCAATGTATCGGTGACAATAGCCTAGTTCAGGGGTCAATATGGCCCATGGGTCAAATCCGGCCCATGATGTAAGTTCATCTGGCCTGCTGCTGTACTGTGCCACAAAGCAACTAAAATATAATTATTTATATGGAATTATCAATGAATTGTAGTTAAACTTGCTATGTAGAAAAAATTAAAATAAATGTAAACAAAAATGCCAAAATTTTGCCAATCTGATTTTTGCATCTGACTAATATAAATTTTAGGAACATCAGTGAACTGGATGGAAGAAATTTCTCCAATTTTCAGTGATTCAAAGAGTTTTGCACTGGAATTCATGACAAACATTTCTTAGAGAGATTTTCAGATCTTGAGAGAATTGAGTGACATTCTTCTGTTCCAGAATCCTTTTGATTGTAAACTTGATAACATGCCAGTTGAACTACGGTTGGAACTCACTGATTTGCAAGTGACTTGTTGAAAGAGAAGTACAGAGAAGGAATACTTCTTGAATTTTATTGCTGCTTACCTAATGATGAGTTTTCAAAGTTGAAGAAATTTGCCTCTGGTATGGCTTGGTTTGGTTTACAGCAAATCAACCTCAATGGGTTATTTAACGGCGACAAATTTTTTTATTGTTGGTAATATTTTCTTTCAAAATAAACTATGGTTGGTAATAACTTTTTTTTTTCTAAAAGTGTATTGCTGGTAATAATTTTTGTTTTACAAAGTATTTCTGATATGTATTAAAACCTATTTCTACACTTTCATAGTGTTTTGACCCTAGTTTGGGTGTCAACTATTTGCCCATAGCTGGGACCCTAACAGGTGCTACCACCCCAGGTCAGGGTGGACTTGGGAACACCAACAATTAAGAGGTGGTTCTATGCTCCTCAAAACCACCTGATCAGAGGCCTTGCTGTTGGATGTAGTTTATCGTCTTACTCAGGACGCATCTGGTATGGCATTAGTGTTTGAAACAACTTGTGTTTGTGAGCAAATATTTTCAAAAATGTAGTATGTAAAGTCAGCACATCAAATGAGGTTGACCGATGAACCAATTCTCTTGGTTGGATGCAGCAATTCCAAAGCAAATATTGATTCTATCTTAAAAGGTAAATGCCAATTTCACAAATCTCACTAAACTTTTTTTGCTGCTTAGTTTGTGAGATTCAAATATGTGCGCACACGGTGTGATATAACTATTTTATTGCTAATGTCATCCTCTTTGATAACTTTTTGGTAAATAAATAGGTTTGTTGTCTTTATTTTTTGTGTATTCAGTGTATTATATTGACAAAATGGTTATCTGACCCAAGTTTATCATTCTCTCAGTTATCTGGCACACTGTGAAAAAAGTTTGGTGACCTCTGGCTTTGTTGATTAAAGCATTAGCTCATAAATTTGATGGCTCAGTAATTGTGAGTCCAGATCCAAAGTTGTTGATCTACATCATCTTTTCTTTAATTTTGTTTATTTCAAATATTTCTTTGACTAAAAGTGCCTACCCAATTCCAAATGATTTGTGATTATTATTTTTTTTAAATAGATTTGGCTGATTTCATGCCTGAAGAATTTAAATTAAATTTCATCTAAAAGGAACACAATATTTCATACATGATATTTAATAGTTATCACTAGATAAGGTGGTAAGAGTAGAAGGAACTTAGTGTAGGCAGGAGGGTGGTCCATCTAAGAAAAGGAAAATGATTTTATAACTTTGCTAACTTGTGGTGAAAAAATCTAGTATAAATGGAACTCCTTTGGTGTAGTGAAGGCAGGTTGTCAAGTTGGAGGAGACTCTCTTATATAAAAAAAAAAAAAAAAAAAATGTATCTTGTGAGATTTGGTATTTGGCATGAATAAACCCAACTTACAGAGGAGAAAAGCCAGCTTTAAATTTTTGCATTCAACCTGCCCAAACCCATCCCATAATTATCAGCTCTCAATGTTCAACCTGACATTACCTGCCCCAGGTATACTCTGCCATAATATATGATGAGATCATTGCAAATAACACTGAAAGTTATGCAAATAGGGAGACTTTAAGAGCTGACATTTACAGGGCGGGATTGAGTGTGCTGAATGCTAAATGGTTAATCTTGCATGTTTATAATTTTTTCCTGATCCAAGTGTCAGGGTACAACACTCACTTCCAATTTGCCATAAGCCAGTATAGAATAGGCTGGTGTAACTAACATGAAGAATAGGAAGCTAAAAAATTCTAGACAAGATTTTTTTTTTTTTTTTTTTACAGTAATGTTCACCCTGTACAAGGCATGGGAGCCACTCAAGATAGAGGGTTATGTTAGTAGGTAATTTGTACAGTTAGGAGAGGAAGATAACTGTTAACCCTAGCCTTTAACAGATTAAGATTGTAATGATTGGAGAAACATCCTCTTGGGAGTTGGTTCCACAGAGCAATGGTTTGTAGGAAGAAGCTGTTTGAGTGGAATTAACATCTCACCAATGGAATATAGAGGGAATTTGGGTGGTTTGGTATGGCATGTCCTTGCTATAAATGTTTGAACTGGTGGGACCAGGGAATGTAATTTGTCCAAGCATTTTCTGTGGAAGTAGCTATAGAGCAGTAAGAGGCTTGCCACATCCTGTCGGTGAAAGAGAGATTGGAGTGTGGAGATAATTCGTCTCCAACCTGGACCCAAGCAATCAGGAAAGCTGATTAGTAGTCCTTGATGTGACAGTGGTGTGCAGGGGCATTGGTTCAGCAGCCTCAGACCAGTGCATTACAGATGAAGAGGAAAATAAATATAGCCACTCAAAGCCATTCTCTTTGGAGAGAACTATCTTATAATCAGTGTGCAATTTGCTGTAGGTGGAGATAGCAAAAAATGAATTATCACATTCAGTTTTTGTTTTACATCAACCACTGCATCTTTCATAAGTAAAAGCACAACATAAATTATTACAATCTTCATAAAGTTATTAACTTAAATGTTCCATTTGTTATAAAATCATGTTAAGACAATGAGGTTTTCTCTCACTGTTCTATCACTATTTCTATGGCATATGTTCTGATGAGTTACATTTCCTAGTTCTACCATCACTGACCTTTACAACTGGGACCCACTATGCCACATACACAAGTGTGAATCATCTCCATTCCTTTTATATTCTATTGTTAAAAAGTAAGTTACACTTGGACAGCTTCTTCTCTAAAACTGTTGCTTTGTGGAACAGACTCCCACCAGGATGTTTTCCCTAATCGCTACAATCTTGACTTCAAGTCAAGGGTTAACTATTATCTTTCCTGCATAAACCCATGAACTTCACTTGAGTGGCTCTTGGGCCTTGTATTGTGTGAACATTATTATAAAAAAAAAAAAAAAAAAAAGTATTTTATATTCCACTATTATAAATAGAGATTAATACTTCTTTTTTCCATTGTCACCTGATGTTTTTGAAGATAAAACTACAATTTTTAAAGACGTGTAAATACAATTAAGTAGCACTAGTCACTTGACAAAATATAGCATGTGGCATTAATCTACAGTAAAATGTTACAACACTACAAAATAAAGAATATTAATCACAAAATGACTACAGGAAAGTTAAAAATTAGCCATTAACTTACCCGTATCACCTTCAGAGAACCACTGAACAATTTATTTCTTGCTGATGCTAATGTACAGACTGGATTATCATGGGATTCAATGGTTTTTACTCTTTCCAAAGAGTCAATACTCCAGACCTAAAAAAATTTACAATAAAAAAAAACAAAAAAACAATCATGGCATTAAATATTCATAAGATGATTAATCAATAATGAATACTCATTCAGTTCTTATATAACCTTAACTAATTTGAATGCATCAAATTAAAATACAATTAAAATAATTTTAGTCAGTGTGGGGAGATCTGAAAGTAAAAATTTTAAATTAATGGCAGCAGAGAAAAAAATAAGAAAAAGGGAGAACAGAAAAGAAATAACTAAAAAATAAAAAGGAAAAAATACATACAACAAAAAGGTACAAGGCAAGTAAATTACTAATTCTGGAATGGTTCTATCTTGAATCAGATACTTCATTTCAAGAATTAAACAACCATCTTCATGGTCAAGCAAGACAGACTTATCAGTGGTGTTATAGAAGTGAACAACTATCTTTGCTACGGTACCTGGTCTTTATGAATTTAAGCATAGTACTAGACTGGTGACAAGATCTCATCAATTTACAGTTGAATTTGTTAGTGATGTAATGGAATAACCAGTCACCTCCATGAATGATTACACTATAGGTAGTAAGTACCTATAAAGTCAACTGTCTATGAGAGACTAAAGAAAGAGTGAGAGAGAGAAGACACAAGCACGTCCAACCTTCCAATTAGTGGCACTCACTACTAGATTGACCTGTGTGTATAACTGTATCGTATTTCATATTGTACTGGTTGTGTACAATAAACCTTTCTTCTATTATCCACCTGGTGTTAAGTATTTATTCCCTTAGCACGGAATATAACAGTTAGATGTAACTGTAAGTTCTATGCTAACAGTTTTTTTCGCACTGCTTGCTTGTGGAACTCCTTTCCAGCTTCATGCTTTCAAGTCAACTTTAATTAAAAGTTTAAATGCAATATGTTAATTGCTATCTACTGTTCTGATTATACTTCTTTTGTTCTAGCTTCTTAGTAATGTTTCTGTTTTCTAATACTTCTACATCCAGTAATACCTCATGTCTTAGTGGCTTTACTGCCTTGCTTGGGATGATTGTGATTGAAAAAAAAAAAAAAAAAAAAAAACAACAACAAAACATACATAAGAACTTAATTAACAAAATGAACAAATTTTGGTGTTTAATCTTTCCCTGACTGCAATATGATATTCTTGTAGTGTCAAACAAGTCATTTTGTTTCAGTTTTTATAAAAGTCTAAAGTTTTAATTCAGAATTATGTGGTGTTATACTACATGGGTTCCAGGCTGGTAATTCCATCCTGTAAATTCTACTTTCTACAGGAACCCCAGCAGTAACACCTTGTGTGGCGAGGCTGTGGCATTACACTTCACAAGAGAACTGGTGCTAAAGGGTGGGGAGAAGGATGTTATGTTTTTATTTATTCAAATAAAGCAGAGCAACATGTGGCATAGATTCCACAAATAACTGGAAGATCTCTGGAAAGATATTGAGACATACCTTTTCCATAGCTGTCTACAACTCTAATATCTTGTGTGCAAAAAGGCCTCTCTGCTATGTCATATAAATGCTTAACTTGGTTCGTGTCTGGTGAATGTGATGGCCACACTATTCAATGGAAATTTCCAGAAGGCTATTCAAACTAATTCTGAGCAACTTAGGTGCAATTACAGTGTATTATCCTATTGGAATAACAAATTTTTGCTGGGGGTCCATGAACGAGTGTAAATGATGATAAATCAGAGCAACGGAGAAGTGACTAGTCAACAAAATGTTTAAGTGGATCCAACCCAAACCATGTAAACACACCCAGCCTGCATGGTGCCTTGTTGACAACTTGGGCTCCTGGTTTTATGGGATCATCAGACCATGACACTGCCAGTCAACCAAGCACCAATATGTCACAATTATAGGTAAGGCACTGTATCCAGTATTGTAGTGTTAACAGAGGTACCTCAGTGGGTCTTCTGCAGCTATATCCCATGGAAGCTAAAGAATACTGAAATGGCATGATGGATATATGTCCGGTACATCTTGCATGAAATGTGAATGTGATTTGACCGAGTGTTGTTTGTCTGTTACTATAGACAATTCTAGTCAGATGTCTCTAGTTATGATCATTAAAGAGTGTTAATGAGAGTTAATGCCTTCCATCAATCTTTCCTGGTATACATAACTGTAAATTGAGGGTTGTCAAATATACCCATAATTTAAGAAATGTTTGGTATATTATTATACCCAATTTCAACTGATAATTTGTCATGCTACCAGTCTAGATGGTGATCCCATTGATTCACCAGATGTTCAAGCATAATTGATAGAGCTCTGGGCATTTTCATGACATCAAGTTACAGATGCACCATCTACCATTACCTTACATTATAGAATTCTCAGAGCCTCTAATAACATTTTGTCTAGTGGTAATCTTTCTGGTATTAGAGAAAGAGGTATAAATGTTCAATAGTTTGTAAATTGTAAATAGGGCAAGTTATTGATGTATTTCACATAATTACTTAACCATATACTGCACAAAAGAAACAGAATCAAATCAATGGATAACAAAAAAAAAATAAAAATAAAAGACAAAACGGTTTATAAAGCTAATAGAAGTACAAACCAAGTAAGGTTTCTATAAATCTGTTTACTTTTTGTTTTATCTTCATATGTAGTCATTGAATTTTTTCTTTTGAATATGGATATTTTGATAAAGGTTTGTTTTGAAAATGTTTTAGAATTGCATTTAATTTTCATTGTTTTTCTCTTATTTATAATTTTCAGTCATCATAAAAAATGCTTGTAAAACATGTACCTATACTTTTCTCTATTTTCCTCAGATTTATGATTAAAAATGGCTTCAAGTGAATTAGGTCTTAAAGAAAACAAACCCTTCATCAGAACTAAAAGAATGGTGCTTCAAAATCACTAAGATTTATGAAATAACAAAAATTACCAAAACACTTCTCACAGCAGCAACAAGAAAAATGGATAGCACATGTAATTAGAAGAGAAAATAATGGTATAATGAAGCTGTTAACTTTCCACACTACTAAAAACAAAAGGTTTGGAAGGAAACTATCATTAATACTAGAGGGCATGATAACAGTGAACTGGAGTAATTTCCTGAAAAATTACTTTAAGAAATATATTTTGTATTCATTACACCTGACAATAATGCTAACTGTTCAGTTAATGAACGCCAAATGTTTTCTATATTGAAATGGTTAATTTCACCATTACACCTATGGTTTCAAGGAATGACTATATAACCTGACTCCTATGCTCTTGGGAGTCTTAGGTTGGGAGTTCAAATCTTTTCCAACTGTTCTTTATTTCTGATCCATGATGCTTATTTAATAATCATAGAATATAAAATTACCTCAGCATTTGATTAGAAAGCAACATGTATAAAATGAAAATAAAAACTATTCAACAAATTAATAGCAACAATGCTTCATTGAAGAAATTTTGACAACATAAAACTATTAGTATTTCCAAAAGAAGCTTAGAAACTTAAGTTTTATTTATATTGTCCCAAACAAGCAAAACTTGGGGAAGATCTTGAAAATTACATTCAATTAATCAAAAGCAGTTGTAGATGTCAACCAAAAATTTAGTAAAGGAAATAAGTAAAATGAACATAGGATAGGTTGCGCTAAGGATACTTTCACACAACAACACAAGAAATGACAAAACCAAAACATTAACCCAAGAATTTGAGTTGTGTTTTTAAATAGCCTTGCTAGATCTAGACTCTCATATGGATGTCACATATGTGATCCTACTTGTTCAGAAATGTCTAAACTGTGATATGTATACAACTGTTTTCTTAGATCAATGATTAAAAATAGCTTCAAGTGAATGAACCCAGTGGGTCTTGAAGAAGACTATCCTTCAACAGATCTCATAGAATGGCACCAAAGAATAACAAACCACATCACTTGAGGATTTCCAACAACAGCAGCATCTAAAATGGATAGAATATGCAACTCTAAGAGAAAATAATGGAATAATCCAAACTACTTTAAACAAAAGATTAAGAAGGAAACCCCCATCAGTACCAGAAAGAGTGATAACAACAAGTGGACTTGAGAAGTCTATTTTCATGAAAAACTGTTTTAATAGAAAGATTTTATAAATTTCAACTGAAAGTAATGCTAATGGTCATTGAATGCTAAAGGTTTCCTTATAAAGAAATACCTCATTTTACCATTACCTTCTAAGATAATTCATCTACTTGAAGTTTCATTTCAATGTAACAAATTAATACAACAAATCTTTCTTCAAATTTTTATTTTTTTTATTTGGTCAAGCTATCTTAGACATTCATAAATCTATCACCTCAACTATAACAGTCCTGCATAAAGGTCAGAAGGTCATTAGGTTGGCATTGCATCATAAAATAGCTGGTCAATGTAGGTGGTTGCTGGGTAACCAACTCATCTTGCACGATGGCTAGGTATCCAGAGCAGTAAATCACTTGCAATTTCCTGTTTTGCTTGCCAGCATTGTCCTGCAAAGCACATTTTGCGTTTATGTAGGATTGTAAAAATATCATGGATGTGTCCATAGAGCTGTGATTTAGTTGGATTTTGTCCTCAAGAGATGTTAAGTATAGCTCTCAGCATGTTAAGTGTAGGTTCTATCAAGCTTAGATTTTAGGGTTTTAGTTAATGTCTAAGCAGTGACACCATACATTAAAACCACCTCTACAGTGGCTCGAAAGAATCTCTGTTTGTGGTTGTCTGGTAGATCAGATTTCCAGATTACATCCATTTTATTCAAGGTGGCCTAGGCTTTAGCTATGCAAATTTTCACATCCTTATCAGAATAATTTGTTTCGCTTCCTATGTATGTAAAAGATTCAACAGATTTTATTGTTTCACCTGATACAGTTTATATTGAAACTTTTGCCACCGTTCATTTTGAAGTATTGAGATAAGCTTCAAACAGCACAGCTCAATATTTCAAAATGAACAGTGGCAGAAGACATAACTGATGCAGGTAAATATGGAATCAAAGAATGAAGCTTAAAATTAGCTTATGATTTGATATATTACTGCAATCAGGAACTCAATCTTAATGACCTATACCATTATTATTTCCCTTAATGTTTTTGCTGTTTATACGTCTGGTTGACAGCAAAAATCAGACGGGAGATGGTGTTTTTTTTATTTTAATCTAAAACATTAGAAGGTGAAATGTTAACAGTGAATTACTAGTCAATGCATCTAATTTTCTATAAATCTTTATAATTCTATAGATTAACAGAAGTTAAAATTTGAAGTGGAGGGCAACCATGGTGTTGGACTCCTACATTGCAGTTTAAAATACCAGAATTTTATTTTTACTGAAAAGGGAACCTTTAATTCACATATATTTAAAGTGAAGGTAGGAGAAATAAAAATGAAGAAATGGTAAAGCACTTACAATGATATTACAGTCATGAGAACCACTGTAGAGTTTATTCCCATACACACACAAAGTCAGCACTATACCCGTGTGTCCCTCAAGAGTTTTTGTACATTTATAACTGGTGCTTGTGTCCCACACCTGCCAAAGAATAGAAATTAAATATTGTACAAGAAATAAAACAATTTCAGATTTTTATCTTTTTAACTGTTTTTTTTTTTGTTTAGTTTCTCTTAACTGTAACTATATTTTTTGATAAAAACAGAATAAAGGATTAATCTTACTCTTCTTTTTTGCATTCTTTGAAAATTTGAAACTTATAATTAGAGAAAATGAAAAAGAAAAAAAGCAAAGAAAAAAGAAGAAAGTAGTTTGTTTTACAGTATATCAACCTCAATGAGTTATTTAATGCCGACAAGATTTTCACAATTGATTTGTATGGATAGAACATGTATTCTTTGTAAGACATCAGTTTCTAAATCAGGTTTCATTGGCATTTTTGTAAAGAGGTTTTTGTTAAGAGCCTGGTTTCATTAATGTATTCTTTTCATTTATACAGTTTGTAGAAAAATCGATTTTATTGACATTCTCATTTGTTTTATATTTTTTGGTAGAGGATCACTGTTTTAAGAAATGATACTATTTCATCCAACAACCCTTTTATTATCAAATTATTATGTAAAATGAGCACTACTTGTAAACATAAAGACATCAAACTATGTTGGATTGCTAGCCACATTGGAGCGGATGGTAACGATAAAGCAGACGTAGCAGCCAAATTAGCTTTAGATATGGATATAGACACAAGGCCCAAAATCTCATCACTGACTTTAAGGAGGTCATTAACAAATATATTCAAAAGGAATGGCAACAGTGCTGGGACGATAACTCACACAAACTCTTTGCAATTCAGTCCAAACTAGGAAAATGGAAGTTGGCTTTCAGAAAATCTTGCTATTGGTCTGTAGTTTTCAGGGTTTGTGCCATCCTTTTCAGGTTTTGGGATAGGAATGATGAACGACTGTTTCTACATTTCTGTGAAATTGTCATTTGTCCCTATGTTATACATATACATTTTAAGAGTTGCAATGATTTGCTGGATAAATGTTTTATGAATTTGTAGTGGATATCATCTGCGTCCACAGCTGTATTGTGGGATTTCTTTAAAGATTTATTTAGTTCCTCTAGAGAGAATGGCAGGTTATAGCTCTTGGTATTATTTGATATAAATTTAAAATTTTGTTTTTCTGCTTTTTGTTTGAGTTTTAGAAATTATGTGGCTATCATTCTTGGCAGATGAATGTTTAGAGAATGTTTTGGCTAGTTGATCAGTGATATTCTTTTTGCTGGTTATTTTAGTTATTTATCGAGAGATGTTTTTGCAGTGTTTGTGTGGTATTTGCCTGCTATTTTTTTTATCATATTCCAGACAGATTTTGTTTTTGTAGCAGAATCGAGTGTTGACAATTTTACCAGCATTCTTTTTTGGTTTCTTTAATTATTTTCCATGCTTTTACTATTTAATTTAATATCTTTATTTTTTTAATATTTAATTTACAGAATTGCTTAAGTTGCAGCAAATTAGAGGTTGTAGGTTGTTTATTGAACTCTCTCAGAGCCTGATGACCTTTTTACATTTATCATTGAACCAAGCTCTGTTACATATTTTTGGTGCTAAATTTTTTGGAATGCATTTTCTAGCTATAGTGTTAAGGATTTTTGTGAAATATTTAAGTCCCTCAAGCTTTTTCATTCAAATAGTTTTTCAGAACATTGCATTTTAAATTCTTTCCAGTTCACTATGCCTAATTTCCAACAGAGAGGAAATTATATTCTGAGTTTTGTAGAATGATTGGCAAGTGATTGCTACCGCACATGCTTCTCAGTACCTTCCAAGAGAAATCCATATAAATTGAGGGATCACATAGGGATAAGTCTATTGCTGAGTAACCACCAGAAAATGGATTTATGTAAGTTTTATCATCATAAATGCATAAATTGTTATTAATTATTGTTTCTAAGGTCCTTCCCTTTACAACCCCATATGGTACTGTGACAGTTAAAATCACTTAATATCATAAAAGGTGCAGAGAGTTGTCTTATGAATTAATGAATTTCAGCTTCATTTACTGGTTCAATTAGTGAGCAGATGTTTATTGTCCTGTGTAAAGACACTTTAACTGCAGTTGCCCGTAAAGTAGTTTATTTTACTTTGAAGTACATCATTCCTAACTAGGATGGATGTACCATCTGCTGCTCAAAACCCAGTGTCATGTGTGTTATTCTTTTATATTCAGTTTGTCATTTTGCTTAAGGAATGTTTCCTGAAGGCAAACAACAGGTCTGTTATTAGCAGAAGCAGTTCATTTATTCCGTGGCAGTTCCATTAGATTATTTGATACATGATTGTTAAATGTTTTGGGACTTTAGCTTAGTATGTGGTTGTGATTTAATTTTCTCATGTTTTGAGTTTGGGGATTTTGGCCATTTGTGGATTCTGGCTTTCCACCTCCATTTTTTTCAGTTTGTCAAATCGGTTTTGGGTAGGAATTTGGTCACTGTGGATTTCTGGATTTTGTTTGGCCGGTTCCTTTTTTTTTTTTTTTTTGAGAGATAAGTTCTTAAGTCTATCTTCAATGGCTTTTGGTGGATGGATAGGAGATTGCTGTAACCTTTGCTTTGTAGGAAATTTTGTATTTTTTTTTTTTGAGAAGTTTGTGTTTGAATGGTAGATTTTGTATTTGTTTTTTCTTTATTATTTAAATTATTTCATTGGGTTTCTTTTCTGGTTCAGTTTGTACTATTTCTTTGGAGATATGTCTTTTAGATGGCTTTGAAATTTGGGTCAGTCATTTGGTCCTAAGTGTACAAGCTTCTCAATGAGGGTTCTGTATTTGTCAGGTTGACTGGTATTCGTTTTGGTCATTTTTTGTATTATTTTTGCATAGAAAGGGTCATTCATGTAGATTTCAACTATTTGCCTTGTTTCCATGAAGGAGACATTTCCTTTATATTTCACTCCAATTTCCTGGAAGCACATCTTACTTCATAGTGGCATTCTTCTTCTGTGTGGTTGGAATCCCTTTGGCTACATTTTCCACATGATGGAGGACTCCGGCAGATATCTCTAAGATATCCAAATTTTTGGCACTTGAAGCACCTTAGTGGAGCAGGGATATATTTTTCCACTCACTCAATATTGTACCCGACTTATTTTTCTAGGGATTTGAAGTGAGACAAAAGCAAGGATATACGTGTCTGTTGTTATGGTTTCTCCTTTCCTTTTTATTATGATTCTACGGTAATCACTGACACCCTGGCTTCCTAAGACATATGCAATTTCCTTAGGTGTGGCCAAAGACAACCCTCTGCTTCCAATGACTCCCATAGGAGTGTTTAGCCTTTCATGGAAGAAGGTTTTTATTTTGATGTTATGAAAGGTCTTCATCTTGATTAAACTTTTGGTATGTTTCTTATTTTCCACTTATACCAGCAAATTGCTTTTTCTCAATTTCTTAAATGTTTTGGGGGTTAATGTGTTCCCCATCCACCTCAGAGCCTGACATTGGGATGTGTCAAGGAGGGAACCCAGTCACCTTGACAGTTCATGGCTATACAAACCAGTATATTTGTATTTGAGAGAGAGACTGAGTACCCATTAAACCATTTGTTGCACTTCCCAAATCTTAAGTGAACAAAATGGTATGTTTACAGCCATGTCTAAGTCTAGATCACTTTGAATCAATTGACCATCACCTCTTAATGCCTATAAATTGGATAGAGATGGCATTTGATCCCAGTGTATATTTGGGGTATTGTATTTAGTCATAAAGTACTCCAATTGATATAATTATAGGCAATAGGTATTGGCATGACTAGCTGATTGATTGGATTGGACCACTGACTACAAAAGAAGACCAGAGAAGAGGAGAAAAAAAAATAAATAAAGACTACAGAGAAGAGGAGGAAAAAAAAAAAGACTACAGAGAAGAGGAGGAAAAAAAAAGACTACAGAGAAGAGGAGGAAAAAAAAAGACTACAGAGAAAAAAAAAGACTACAGAGAGGGAAAAAAAAAAAAAGACTACAGAGAAGAGGAGGAAAAAAAAAAAAGACTACAGAGAAGAGGAGGAAAAAAAAAAAAAAAAGACTACAGAGAAGGAGGAGGAAAAAAAAAAACTACAGAGAAGGAAAGAAAAAAACAAAGACTACAGAGAAGGAAAAAAAAAAAGACTACAGAGAAGGAAAAAAAAAGACTACAGAGAAGGAAAAAAAAAAAAGACTACAGAGAAGGAAAAAAAAAAAGACTACAGAGAAAAAAAAAAAAGACTAGAGAAAGGAAAAAAAAAAACTACAGAGACTAAAAAAAAAAGAGAAAGGAAAAAAAAAAGACTACAGAGAAGGAAAAAAAAAGACTAAGAGAAGAGAAAAGAAAGAAGGAAAAAAAAAAGACTACAGAGAAGGAAAAAAAAAACTACAGAGAAGGAAAAAAAGACTACAGAGAAAAAAAAAAAAGACTACAGAAGGGAAAAAAAAAGACTACAGAGAAAAAAAGACTACAGAGAAAAAAAAAAAAAAAAAAAAAAAAAATTGAAATGTATAAAATTACCTTTATAGTTTTGTCGGAAGACCCACTATACAGATAATCTCCATATACACATAGACACCATACAGGACCCTGAATAAAAATTAAAAAAAGAATAATATTGGGAAATAAAACAATGAGGCTTTACTTTTACTCATGCATAATTTGTATACATTACTTTTATTATATCTAATATTATTTGGAAGCTCAAATTCTTTTGATTTGCTATTTGTATATTCTGGAGTTAAGCAATTTACTTTTTCTTCCCAATTACAAATGATTTTAGCTGAAGAATGAATGGAGAGAAATGCCAAACTGCTTTTTTATAACACAGGTTTGAACATTAGACATGAACATTGAATTAGATTTGAACGTTGGATAGGTTTATGACTTCTCAAAATTATAGACAATATCACCTTTTGCAACTTCAGGCACCACAGTTTATTCTAGAATAAGTAAGAAATTAGTCACATCAGTTCAATAGCCACATTGGTCATCCATCACAATTTTTTTTGTCATAACTAATGGCTGGATATATGCACCAGAATGAGATAAAATTAAAAAAAATTAATAATGTTTAAACACTTCACTATGATAAGCTATAAACTGAATCCTTCTACAGCCTTCTTGAAGGAAATAGCATCAATCACCATATTGGGTGGATGTCTACATTAGATCAGTATGGATTTCAACATGTGCAGTTTTCTTTGCTCAGATAACAAGACATCCCTTTTTATTATTTATATATATATATATATATATATATATGAAATGAGAACAAATCAAATTCTGACATTTGTAACATTCAATTTAAGAGAGTGTTCAATACAATAGTAGAGCAATATTCTTTATTTTAGGATATTACATCAAAAACATGTAAAAAATGCTACACAAATGCAATCATGTTTCAATGTGTATTAACAAATCTCAACAGGTGTTAGTAAATAACTGGTTAGTAAACAATTAATTGAGATTCAATAAATTGTCTACTAACCAGTTATTTACTAATGCCTGATGAGATGTGTCAATACACATCAAATCATGATTGCATTTGTGTAGCATTTTTTTTTTTTTACATGTTTTTGATGTAATATCCTAATATATATATATATATATATATATATATATATATATATATATATTTTGTTTAAAAATATGATTCCTGAATCATATTTTTAAACAAAAAATATAATAAAGCTCTACTTTTGTATGGAGCACTGTCTTCTTAAAAATAAAAACAAAAATACTAAGGAACCCCGGATTATGCACCCAACATGTTCTTTTTTTCTATTTTCTGCATACCTTTCGCACTTATATATATATATATATATATATATATGGTTGATTGATGTGAGTTTGTGACCCTGGGTCACAAACTCACATCAATCCAACCAAATATGTTAGTTAGCTCTATCTCTGATATTGAGCGCTTTCATATAAGTACCATGCATATAATATATATATATATATATATATATATTTATTCACACACACATATGGAATTACGTGTATTATATAATTACTGAGAATGGTATCATCTGCATTACTTATGTTGCTTGGCTGATATATTAACTACTATTTCTCACAGTTACTATTTTTTTCTTACATTTTCTGTGCAAGTATTTTCTTGGGTGGGTAATAAGATAATGCCACATGTCATTGCTAGCAAATTTAATCCTTATTTAATGCCCAAATCTGGATCCTTGAATTATATTCAACCTGACAACCTCTTTGCCACATATATCACAGATTAAATTATAGAGTGAAAATTTAAGATCAAAATTCATGTTAGGCTCCAGAATTATGTATCCACTCTCGCAAATATATAAAACAAAATTTACACTTAAAAAAAAAAAAAAAAAAAAAAAAAAAATCAACTTTGTTCCTGCCAACATATGAAGGAAAGCAAGCAGTTTTCTTTTTCCCTGATAATGACAAAAGTAAGCACTGAAATATCAACAGACTTCTTACATGTGAATTTAATATCAAAAGTAAAAGGTCAAGATAAAAGTAAATATTTTTTTCTTTACCTGATGCCCAACAAAAGTACCTCGACATTTGAACATCCTTTGTGGATCATCATATCCTGAAAGCATGGGGAGAAAAATTATAAAAAAACCCAAAAAACCCAGCTATAAACATACATCAAAGGCATAATAAACAATATATTTATAGTAACTGCTTGACCATGAAAAAGCTAGTATGCTACAATGATACACACATACAAAAATATGTGTGTGGTTTATATAGCACACGTGCAGGATCTGAGAATCCAGTTAGGTGCGACCAACCACTTGCTTGGGTAAAAAAAAAAAAAATTATACATCAATACATTACTTATGTATAAAACAAATACAAAAATTTATTTAGGGAATTGAAGCATGAAGATGTTATATTTTTTTTGATCTCTAAAAATTCAAGATTTCTTAAATATTGTACCAATAATGGATTACATTTTAATTAGAACTGATTGATTAAATTATATAAGTTTCTGGATTTATGAATGATTTATTTTTATGGCTTATCAGCCTTTTGTAGGTTATTTAAAGCCAGAAAAATATTTTTAGACTAAGAATTTTTTTACTGATACAAGTTTGACTAAATAACCTATAGACAGGGTGGTGTTTATATATGGTGATTGCTCCAAAGTTCATACAAAGCAGAAATGAGTTACTAAATGCCTCTTTGGTTTGGTTTATGGCATATCAACTTCAGTGGGTTATTCAATACCGACAACTTTTTTTCCTGGTAATATTTTGTTTTGTCAAAAATCTATTGCTGGTAATAGTTTTTTTCCTTCAAAAATTTATTTCTGGTAATAATTTTTTACAAAGTATTTCTGGCATTAAAACCTATTTTTACACTTTCATAAGGCTTATTACCTCAGTTTGGGGATTAACTATTTGCCCATAGCTTGGACCTTAACAGGTGCTACCACCCCGGATCAGGGTGGACCTGGGAACACCAGCAATTAAGTGGTGGTTCCACACTCCTCAAAACCTCCTGATCAGAGGCTTTGCTGTTGGACATAGTGTATCATCTTACCCTGGATGTGGATATAGTTTATCATCATACCCAGGATGAAATGCCTCCTTGGGAGAAAAAAAAATTACGTGTGCTTACCTTCATTGATGCATAGTGAATGCTTCAAGAAGCTAAACAAAAGGGAACAGTCAGGCATTCAGTAATGCCTTTCTGTAGTGGCAACATTGATGTATGAAACAAGCTTTGTTCATGTTGATGAAAAGAAGACTACAAAGGAAACTTCATGTGATAGCTATGGAAGCTGGTCATCTGAAATCAGTGATCCACGTAATTGTCCACGATTAGAAAGAACATCAGAAAGTATCAACTCATTGGATACCAAAGATATTACTAAAGTGTGGCTCCAATGACAAGGCTGGGAATGTTTTATTGCATACACTCTACAGTCCTGACTGGGTATCTTCATGTTATTATCTCTGAGTTCCTCAAATAACATTTATCTGTTCAACACAGATTGCTATTGTAGAGGTACAATGTATTTTCAATTGTTTGATTCCATGTTTTTTAGAGAGAGTATTTATGCACTCATACACCAATCCAGATGGCAGCTATGTGGAAAAGTAGTAATAAAGCAATGCTGATAATATATACATAATGTTTATATGAATATAGTAATAAGTTTGTACTATCCTTTGAGTTAATTCCAACATTCTATCATGTATAAAAGTTAGTTTGATTGTGGAAGTTACTTGTAAAACTTTTATATCAGTATAGTGACAACATTCAGTAAAAGTTATATAAAAAAAGAAAGAAAAAGGAAAAGCCTTGCTCAAAGTTTACATTGGAATGTTAAGTTTTGAAACTGATCTTGCCATCTATTAAACTTAGTAAGCAAAAGTGCAGTCTTCAGTGACAGAAGGATGAATCCACCTACCGGATGTTGAATGACTGAATTGCTTTGCCAGCAAAATGATTCCAGACACCAAAGTAAAGACAAAAAAAAGTCAGTGAGGCATATGATTGGAAGGCAACAATCAGTGCCATATGTCTTTGAAATTGGCGTCTTGTCACAGAGAAAAGCAGAAAGCTTTTACAACCTTAACTAAAAAAACAAAGAAAATGACTAAGGACCCGTGGCAAAGAGAGGTGCAGAGTGTAAGGAAGATTGTTTGACAAGACTTGAACATTCTCATCAACTACCTGAGGTGGTGGTAACAGAATGACAGATAAGGATGCCAGTGTCAGCTAATCAAACATACTGAGAATTCTTAGGCACCCCAAAGAGAAGAAACAGTAAAGGCTGTAATTAATTATTCACACAAGGGGAATATATATATATATATATATATATATATATATATATAGATAGATAGATAGATACAGACAGATATACATCTAGATATAGAGAGAGAAAAACAGAGAGAGAGGGAAGGCAACAAGAGAGAAAAACAGAGAGAGAGGGAAGGCAACAAGAGAGAAAAACAGAGAGAGAGGGAAGGCAACAAGAGAGAAAAAACAGAGAGAGAGGGAAGGCAACAAGAGAGAAAAACAGAGAGAGAGGGAAGGCAACAAGAGAGAAAAACAGAGAGAGAGGGAAGGCAACAAGAGAGAAAAACAGAGAGAGAGGGAACACAACAAGAGAGAAAAACAGAGAGAGAGGGAAGGCAACAAGAGAGAAAAACAGAGAGAGAGGGAAGGCAACAAGAGAGAAAAACAGAGAGAGAGAGGGAAGGCAACAAGAGAAAAAAGAGAGAGAGGGAAGGCAACAAGAGAGAAAAAAACAGAGAGAGAGGGAAGGCAACAAGAGAGAAAAACAGAGAGAGAGGGAAGGCAACAAGAGAGAAAAACAGAGAGAGAGGGAAGGCAACAAGAGAGAAAAACAGCAAGAGAGGGAAGGAAAGAGGGAAGGGAGCAAGAGGGAAGGAAAGAGGGTGAGTGGGAGCAACAAAGGGAGAGAGAGGTTAGAAAAGAGAAGGATGTAAAGAGGGAGTGCAAGAGGAGGTGGGATGGGAGATAATAATTAAGAAAAGGAGATAAAAGAGAAAGACAATGGTAAGTGAGAGGTGGTTATTTTGTTGAAGTGATTGCTTTTTTTTTTTTTTTTTTTTTAAACGATTAGTAAATCAGGTCATTTGTTGTCTTGAAAGATTTCAGGCAAATTCAATGCTTTTCAAAGATTCCTTAGGAATAAAATGTGCAGAGTAAAAGAACTCAGAGATCAAAGATGTTAGATTTGTTTCAGTGATAGACATATTTACTTATGTATTTATTTTTACATCCAGTATTATATATCACACTGGTGCAACAGCCAAAAGTCTAAAAATACAGCAATTGCTATTTTTCAGCAAGCAGTTTTCATTAATTCAGTAAATGGGGATACAGGCTAGAAAGAAATCCTACCATGTTGATTACAACTTTACAAAAGACAACAAAAATTTCTTGTAAGGTTAACATTTTTGCAGAGCAAAAGATGTGATGCTTAATGTTATGTAATGTTTATGTAATTCCAATGAGTATTGAGGTGCACCAGATGGTAACAAGACAATCATGATGATTATTAATTTATTTGTTGACATATCAAAAAGAAAAAACAGTAAATGCAGTAATTAATAATTCATATATTCATAAGAAGAGAAAGAAAAAATGAATGAAAGAGTGTTGGAAGGAAAAGTTAAAGTAGAAGGAAAAGGAGCGAGAGTAATAAGAAAATGGAGAGAAAGGTAATATTGAGAGGATGTCAAGAAACGGGGAGGGGAGATGTCAAGAAACGGGGGATGCCAAGAAACAGAGGGGGGGAGATGCCAAGAAACAGAAAGATGCCAAGAAACAGGGGGGGAGATGCCAAGAAACAGAGGGGGGGAGATGCCAAGAAACAGAGGGGGGGGGGAAATGCCAAAGAAACAGAGGGGGGGAGATGCCAAGAAACAGAGGGGGGAGATGTCAAGAAACAGAGGGGGGTGCCAATAAAGACATGGGGGACGCCAAGAATGAGTATTTATGGAACCCATAGAATAGAATAAATACCTTTTTTTAAATAATTTGCTATAACTAATAACTAGAATTTTATAAAGGTTTTCTATACCAAATTAGATAAATCTCTCATTTGATTAACTAATCATGTCAAACCTCTCAGCAGTAGGCTGTTTAGTTCACCTGAATTTTTTTTTGTTTTTGCATAAACATAGCGTTATGTACTAAAGACTATGTTTGTCATAAGAAAATCTCATAAAGTAACCACTCCTTTCCTTGTTTGACATTAAAACTTGTCAATTTAAATGGCAACTAAAATTTAGTTTTCCCAATTTTTCAAAATGTGATCAACCGAATTAAAGAGATAAAATTATTTAACCTGTAAACATCCTCTTATTGCAAATCCCACAAAGATTAAGAACAAAAATTTGAACCCAGAAGTAGAGATTCTCATTTAAATCCTAATCGTTAATTCTCTTGTATCAAGCTGTTTATGTAACCAGTGATATGAGTGGGATTTATAAAGCAAATACAGAGAAAATTCACTCTAATAATAAGATATATATGCAAAAGGAATGCTGAAAAATACTTTACTCTCTAACCAAAATGTGAGATATTTTTTTTTAAATGCATTCTTGGTCAATCAAATAACTTTTCATTATCCCAATATGAGAGAGAGAGAGAGAGAGAGAGAGAGAGAATAAAAATAAAAAAGCAAATTGGCTAAGTTAAATATCTAGATACACTGAATATCAAAATTTAAATTTAACACATTAGCATCTATTATCTTTAATGTTTTATATAAAATTATAACCACCATGTGTTGTACTTATTTAGGTTATACATGGTTTTCCTGTTCCTTTAATCTGTCCTATTAGTATCAGATTCTCCAAACACTCTTTTCTCATTACATGCCCTAGAAATTTCAATTGTCTTTGCCTAATATTAAATATAAGTTTCCTTTTTGTTTCCATTTTTTCTGAAACTGTCATTGCTCACATACATGGCTCATGATATCCTCAGCATACTCCTGTAGAATCACATTTCTGTTGCTTCAAGTGACTTCTCCCTCTTTGAGGATATTCTCCATTACTCACTGCCATATAGAAGGACTTATCACATAACAGTTCAGTACTTTTTTCTTTGTTTCTAACAAAGTTTTTCTGCTTCTTAATATTCTGCTTAGCTTTTGGAAAGCATCTTTGGCTATTCCAATATGCCTTTGGATTTTCCATCCTCTGTTAAAAGACTTCCCAGATATTTAATTTTTTGTACTTATTTGATTTTGGTACCACTGATTTGTAATTTGCATTTTGGGTTCATCCTTTCTTAGTCCCTTCTTGCTTTCCCTCAATACCTTCTGTAAGAATTTTGTAGTTTCCTTTCCTTGTCTGCTATCAACACCGTGTCATCTGCATAGCTTATGTTGTTAAGATTGTGGCTGCCAATAGTGAATCCTTCTGGGATTCCTAATTCTGAGAATCATTTTGCTGTATAGGTTGAATAAGTCTGGTGAGAAGACATCCTTGTTTTACACTCCTTTCTATTTTTGTATATCTGCTGAACTCATTTTCTATCAGTATGCAGGCAATTTGATGCCAGTATAGGTCCTTCCTTATTCTAATATCCTTCCCAAATATGTCGAGGTTGCTGAGCAGTTTCAACAGATTTTTGTGGCGTAATTTATTGAATGCCTTTGCGTAATCTATCTACACAGGTATATATCCTCCTACATTTGTATCGCTCTTTCTGAACTACTTAGAAACTTCAAAAATTAAATATAATGCCAATTGACATCTTCCGTCTTCCTGAATGCTACTTTTTATTGTCCTTTTCCCTCACTAAACTTTTCTCATTCTTTTTCACTCCTAGTAACCCCTTGTATCCTAGTGGCATTATCGCTTTACTTCAGATGAAAAAAAAAAAATAGGTAAATTTCAAGAATGTATTTTATTGAAAGGTGAGAATCATTTCTTTATAACTTTAATATTCACACTATTTACATTATTTGGACTATTGTCCTCATCTTTGTTGGCATATTTATCACAACGTTTTGCCCGTTGTATGCCCCAGCCTTCTAAAGGTGTTTGGAATGTCAAACTGAACCCTATATTATAGAGAAAAAAAAAAAACTAAATGTAAAAAAAAAAAAAAAAAAAAAAAAATAATGCTAATTATTTTCAGAATTATATCTGTTCAAGGTTGGCACTTTGACAGTGTAATGGTTAGCAAGATTGTCTTGCTAGATCAGTTACTACCGAGTAGTGAGTTTGATCTTCACTGGGTGCCACATACTTTCAGCCATCTAAGCTACACTTAGAAAATCATATGTGAACTTTGACATGGTGTAATGGCTAGCAAGCTTGTTGAGCTAGATCAATTATGACTGCATAGTGATTTCCTCACTGGGTGCTCCACATTTTTGGCCTTGTGCCACATCTAAGCTATACTTAGAAAATCACCATATCTGTTCAAATTTAACTTAAATCTTAAGTTAGAACAAGTCACATGAAGGCTTTTAGAAAGTAGTTTGTTGTGCAGGTAATCATTTTTTTAATAGACTCCAAAGTTTTTTCAGCTTTTACAAAAAAAGAAATAAAAAAAATAAATATTTAAAAAATATTTGTTACACTGTCAAAGATTATCATAGACTAAAAAGCTTTGAAATGGGGGGGGATTCATTATAACAGGGGTTGGCAATCCTCAGCCCCTGGCGCATATCTGGTAGACAAAGGATTTATGTCCTGCTTCCAAATTAGTTGTTACCCTGTTATTCCTGCAGTAAAATAAGGGACTGTGTTTAAATAATATAACATTATCGTTGCTGTTTTTTCTTTAGACCTCCAGACCAATGCAGTCTTCTGGACAGAGTGCTCTGATGTAGAGACAATATTTTATAGTATATTTGGTACCTCTTCTGAAACACGGCATAGCTGTCTGGCCTGCTCTCTCTCCAAAAGGTTCTCGACTACTGTTTTATAACATGACCACAATTGAATGTTAACACTGACTGAGAAATGGGGCTTATTATAAAGATAAAAAATAAATTTTACCTCCCATCTGTACACCAATATTCAAACGTTTGTTGATGTTAGAAATTTCTTCCTGGAAAATAAGACACTTCTAATTAGATTGTTATTGACAATAAATCAATTGTTACAAAGGAAATATCAAGTAATTACAAATAATGTTAAAGAATTAACATAAATAGCATTTTATTACAAGAAAACAATGGTGATTTTTTTTTTTTACAATAATGTTCAACCGGCAAAAGGCTCAAAAGCCACTCAAGGTAGAGGGTTACAGAATAAGAGGTACAGTTTATAGGGATAGGTGGGGAAGATAATGGTTAACTCTAGGCTTGAACAAGTTAAGAGTGTAGTGTTTGGAGAAGCATTGTGTTGAGAGTTGGTATCACAAAGCAGAGGTTCATGGGAAGAAGCTGCTTGAGTGGAACTTACATCTCATCAATAGAGAATGAAGGTGGTTTGTGAGGCATGGCATGTCTTAGCCATGAAGATCAGAACTGGTGAAACTAAGGAATGTAGCTCATCTGAGCACTTTCCATGGAAATGCTGGAAAGCTAACCATACATTCTATTTTTACAGAGTTTTGTCTGCCAACATTTCTATCAGACATTCAACCCATACCGAGAGAAGATCAATACAAATTAATGTAATGGGATAATTTCTTTTATAAATTCATGTAAGGCTAAATATTGCCCGTGTGTTCTCACCTTACATCAATAGAATAAAACAGCCTGTATCGTTAATGTGTAATATTTATATATACTACTAGTAAATTGCATTTGCAACATAAGTAGATATTTAACTTTTTTAACAATTTAAAAAATATTTCCTCTATTTTTAATTCAAAAGTTAATAATCGACATATAAAACAGGTTTTCTATTGGTAAAGTTTTTTTTAATTCATTGTGTTTCTATAGAAAGGAGGAGGCACGGTGGAGTAATGGATAGCGGTTCGGATTGAGGAATTGGAAAGCCGAGTTTGAATTCCAGTTGAATCCATTACATTCGCTTATGTGCTAATACCCTTGAAAAAGGGTATGAATTCTCTTCTTCCCCCAGCTTTGGGTAAATAGCAGAACAGACCAGGTTCTATAGCCTTGGGTGACAACTGGTCTACTGCAGAAAGAAATGGCAAACTACTGCAGTAACAAAATCTGCCTTGTCAGTCATGTATCAAAAGATACATGATTGCCTAAGCATGTATCACGCATGACACATAATTGACTATAGAAAGAATTTATATCTGCTTGGTCAAAATCCAGTTGTAAATTAGCAGGAAATAACAATAATATATTTAATTTCAAGGAAAATAAAAAAAAAATGTAATCTTTGTGAAAATAACTTTTTTTTTTTTTTAAGAAGCAAAGTAAATAATTAAAAAAAAAATTAAAAATATTAAAATTTTTATAGAATTCAGTGTTACTTAAATTCTTATTTCCTGTAGCATTTAAAATTACTATATATTAAGTGAACGAAAAAAAGATTTCCTTACAGAATTACCGAAAGAAGTGTGAAAATAATAAGTTTGAATAATAATAATTCAAATGTTTCTCATAATCAGTTCTATGTAGCTATGTCTAGAGTAGGAAATTCAAGTTGACTTCACATAATGACAAAATTATATATTTTTAATTTATTTTTATAAACATTATTTTTTAAATGGATATTCATATTTGAGTAGAAGCTCTGTTTTTTATTTATTTATTAAACAGTATATTTATTTATTTACATCTACCGGCCTCAATATTTGGAGAAATCTTGTTAGAAAAATTAAACAAATGTCCAATAAATAACAGAGCATTTACTCAAATATGAGTAGCCATTTAAAAAGTAACATTTAAAAAAAAAAAAAAAAAAATTATAAATTAGTTGGATTTAATATATATATATAAGAATTTATGCCTGCTTTGTCAAAATTCAGTTCTAAGTTAGCAGAAAAGAATAACAGTATATTTACATTCCAGGAGAACAAAAAATAAATGTAATCTTTGCTTCTGAAAATAATTTTTAAAATATTAAAACCTTTGATATAATTTTATAATTTTAGGCCTGGCAACATTAAATCTTATTTCCTGCAGCATTCGTAATAACTATTGTTCTCATCTGCCATTTCACATTACTACAAATTAGTAGGGTGAAGGCAAAAGAGTAATATATAAATTAAAGTGTCAGAATTTAGACGCATTTACCAAATAAGACGTACTGGTTTGGCCAAAAAGTTTGTTTCAGATATTAAGTAGAAAATTTACTTAAACTGAATGAACATTTTGACCAACCCAATAATACCTTTTACCTGAATAACAGTAACTAAGTAACATATGCTGGAGTCATTACATGGTTATATCTATCCAGGCACATTCCAAGGTTGTCCAGAACTGTGGTGTCTATTGTGTATGGCTGCAGGGAAATTAGTGAAGTTCTCATGTGTACCAAATACAAGTAGCAGCATGGTTAAAATATTTCCTTCAAATTTCCTCCAGTATTGTGCTTATTTGGCACAGAACGCTTATTTTTCAAATGATTTTCTTCAATTATTGTCTTTGTAAATTCCAGCAGAATATGCACCACAACATTACAGAGCAGCCAACAGCTTGCATAACACCCTCCTGACAGACTGAATCCATAGCTTCATGTGGTCTCCTCCATCCACAAAGTCAACCATCTTGTCTGAATGAGCTGGTAATATGAATCATCTAACTAGACAACGCTGTGATAGCTTCCATGGTTTAATGATGTTCTGTGTTGTATAGTAATCAAATTTGTAGTATTAATGATAGTTACTTTGAAACCCCATAGAATGCAGAGTATGCGGTTTAGTGGCATCAGTGTTGAATTGGAATGTGATTTGTTATAAGGTTTACCATCCTTGTCAACTGGTGGTGGTCCCATTCTTGCATCATTTGTGGATGATTTTTGATGTCTGTCCAAAGTTACCATACATTTGCTACTGTTGAGCAAGAAAATCCTTGAGCAGTTACCAGTTCTGGTTCCATCACTCCACAGAAAAATGGCATTTTTTTCTTGTATCCTATGATTGCCATAGCTACACTTCCTCTTTACCTATTGCATTGCACTTAGGTCATTCAGCTGAGTCTATTTCTACAAGTGGAAGGGGAAGGTGAAACCATCCAGAAAACTGCTAATTGTTTTACACAGACATGAAAGTTTAGACACAAGACAGAAAAATACAGTTGCTATAAGATAGAGGGATTTAATGGGATACAAGCACAGATGTATCCATCTACAAATTTTCTAGTGAGCATGTTTAAGAGTATGTGTTTAGTGTATCATTAAATAGAAAAAGTATTTTCTGCTCTTAGGGTCATTAACTATGGTAGTGTTGTGGCCTTGTTAGGGCCATAATTAAAGACATGAGAGGAATTGAGTTAAACAAATATATTAACAGAAAACAGTAATACAAACATATGCAAACAAGTGTTATGGTAAGAATGTTTGGTCCAACTGTCAGAGCTGACTGCTGGAAACTTCACACTCCAAAAGGTTGTACCTGCTCCTATTCATAGCTGGGAAAGTCCATGCATGTGTAGATAAATTACCATAACAGACATCTCAATGTGGAAATATTTTCAACCAATATTACAGAAATATTTATTGTGGGCATATTAATCATGTTTAAAGCTGCCAATTTCAATTTGAGCAATTTTTGTTTTAATAGTGTTTCTTTTATATGAAATTTAATTTTATGAAGAACTTTCAAAATGCACAATATAAGTATATATATATATATATATATATATATATATATATATATATATATATATATATTTATTTTAACACCTGTTGATGGTGAAATTAATGAGTAAAAAAAGTTTGAGGAACTTACTGCCACTAATGCATTCTCACGTCGATTATCGATGACTTCAGTCATGATACAATTCTGTTTGTGTTCCAGCAGATCTGAAGATAGACAAAAAAAAAAAAAAACCTTGATAATTCTTCCTAATTAGCACTTGCAATAATTCATAGATAACCAAATAGAAATTATTCCCCATCAAATTTGATTCTTAATTGGCTACTAATAAGCAAAGGAATATTACTATCAGTACTTCTGTGAATTATTTTCTGAACTTTTTAAACCAGGGGTGAGCAAACATTTTTTTTGTGTTCTTTATCTGATTCATGTTGAGTCAAAGGTACAGGTGGGTGGGTGGTTGTACACATATATATGTAAATATATTATTTAACAAAAAACACTTGAATAATGAACATACAATAAACTCCTTTTGCCACTGATAATAGTAACTAAGAAGTAGTAAGTGATACATTGGAAGCAATGAAAACCATGACTTATGTCATATGGTAAACTGATTACACTGACTTAATTTATGTCAGTTAGTACAAAATGACCTAGAAACCTAGTTCTTACAGATTTGATAATTTTTCATGAAAACTTAATAAAATTTAATTGTTAAGGATTTGTCATTTATTTTTATTGGATATTAGCTAAAATTAAAAAAAAACTGATTAGAAAAAAAATCAAATAAAGCATAAAAAACATTTTTTTCTTTGAAATGCTTATGCGAGTGCACACCACTAGTTTAGACCAACATCCTCTTGTTATTTTGATCAGAACCTTTTTGCTGGTGCAATTTTCATGTGTAGGATTGTTAGCCAAAAAATTAGCAAGAGATTATAACAACAAAATATAAAATGCTCACATAAATGATCAGAGATTCTGTCTTAAATTACATAAAGGTTACTTTATAAAACTAAGAGATGTGGAAAAGTGCACCAACCAACATGTGCTCAAAACTTAAAGATGTTGGTTCAAATAATTTGTAGAATCTTATCAAGTTCCTTTTTACAATAGTCTTTTTAACAAAAAGAAAAAAATATTAAAACACAAACAGCTAATTTATACAACAATAATTATTCAAATATTTGTCATTGCTTTGACTTGTCTCAGATAGTTACAAAATCTTATGGAACAAATTAGGCATAACAGTGCCTTTCTTTTATAGTAAAAGTAAATTAAAATCTTAATGACCTAATCTAAAATTTGTAAAATCTCAAATTATTTTAGACAGCTTCAAATGAGACTGAAAATGTATTTGAATAAATGGTTATTCAACAAAATGAATTAACATAGTGGCCCAAATGAAATTAACACAGTGGCCCAAATAATTTGATTTGATTGTTGGCCTTAAAAAGGCATTATCAACCTAACAGTAGCACAAATGAAATAACATGGTGGCCCAAAATAGTGTTAAGTAATTTCTCTATCAGCATTGATGACAGATGAATACTCAATATAAAAAGAAAAAAAAAGACACACAATACCTACAAATACATACGTGAAGGTGGCATAGGAGTTATCGACATGGAAAATGGAACTGGTGGACCAAGTTCAAATTTTGGCTGAGAGTTACATTCAGTGCACTGAATCTGTTTTCTCCTAACCATTAACTTACATCAGACTTTGGAGGAGGCTATATAATCTAGCATACATTACTTTATATCCTGGTGATATCATATTTATCAAACAAACACATTAAAACTCTTTCACTTTGCAAATTACATATGCATAGTGCCAAAGTCGTTCAGAAATATATAAACTGCCAGCTGTATACAACTGCTTTCTAAGATCAATGATTAAAAATAGCTTTGATTGATGTGTACATCTCAGCAAGGACCAGCCTTCCTTGAACTTGTGGACCAAGTGTTACACAATCACAAACAAAGAATTGTACTAGATAACAGAAACCACATTGCTTGATGACTCAACAGTAGCAACAACTAAAATGGATAACACATGTAACTAGAAGAAATTATAATGTGATAATCAAGATGCTGATGTTCCATACTGCCCAAAACAAAAGGCAAAGAAAGGAACCCCCCACCATCAATACTAGAAAGAGCATTTACAACTACTGGACTTGACAAACCTGATTTCTGGAAAAATCTTTTTAGGATATAGATTTTATAAATTTCAACCAAAAGCATGACTGACGAGAGATAGATAAATAATATATATATATATATATATATATATATATATATATACACACACACACGTGCGTGTGAGAGAGAGATATCACATCACTCTTATATATATATGAGACAGTAAGTATGTGCGAGAGAGAGAATAAATTGTTCTTTTAAATACAAGCTGGTTATTTTTTTTATTATGAAATATCAGAGAAGTGTTATTAAAAACATTTCCAAATTTTCAAAACTTGATTAGATTTGAAGAACACATGAACTATTTCAATGTTTTTCATTTTATCTGCTAAGTCTTTATTTTTTTATATTAATAAACATTTTTGATGTCATCATAATGTTAATGGCCATCTGTTGCCCTAGAAATAGCAAGGACACAGAACGTCCAAGCAAGACTACAATTTCACACAGGAATCATTACACACAAAATTATGCTCAGGTGATTTGTATTGATTGTAACTTTGCTTTCAAAGTTTATGATCTGCAACATTTGTGGGAAATTTGTTGATTTTTGTTATGTGTTGCTCTTCAATTCCAAGTTCACCACATTCTGACTAATAAATCTTGGTTGATATTAACAAGTGCAAGAGAATCAATTAAAAAGTGTAATACTTATGTGTTGGTATTATTCTAAATGTTAAGTATAGAAATGAAAGCAGTGTGCTCATACACCTGTAAATTATTTATTCAGGGAACTATATTTCTTATGTATTAATTGGTAATACTTGTACCTCACACTTTGAAACTGTTTGAACTTTTTTTATATACAGAGGTATCAAATTTTTAGTATTTAAAGATGATATAGGAAAGCATTTTTTTAAAATATTTTACTGGTTGAAAAGAGAAAAAGGTTTTAATTTTTCTGTTTTTTAATCATTTCACCCCAAGTAAGGCAATAAAGCTAATAAACTCAAAGGTGTTACTGAGTGTTAGAGAATATGAGAAAAAAAAAAAAAAAAAAAAAAACACTATTAAAGAGAGAGAATCGTATCTATCTGAATTAAAGATATGTGGGTGGTATAATGGTTATCCTTGTAGAAAGTGGAACTGCTAAAAAGAATTCAAATTTAGTCTATTCGCTTTCATTCAGTTTTGTGCTAAGGCCTTGCAAAAGGCATGAATCTATTTCCTCTCCCGATCCCTAAGTATAGCAGCAAGGTAGACTGGGCTCTGTAACTTTGATTGGCAGCCAGTTTAGGAGAAACATAACGTCCAGTTCAAAACTCTAGAGAAGGCCACAGGAAATCACTTCACTACCTTTCCCAAGATATCATGGCAATTCTCAAATAAGGAAAAAAATTGTCCTGAAGAAGTCTTGCTTTTTTTTGCTTTTAACAAAGATCATATTATTTATTTTCATGTATATTTTAAAAAACAAAGGATGGGAAGAGGGGGAGGGAAACATGGGAAGAGGGGGAGGGAAACATGGGAAGAGGGGAGGGAAACATGGGAAGAGGGGAGGGAAACATGGGAAGAGGGGAGGGAAACATAGGAAGAGGGGGAGGGAAACATAGGAAGAGGGGGAGGGAAACATAGGAAGAGGGGAGGGAAACATAGGAAGAGGGGAGGAAACATAGGAAGAGGGGAGGGAAACATAGGAAGAGGGGGAGGGAAACATAGGAAGAAGGGGGGGGGAAACATAGGAAGAGGGGGAGGAAACATAGGAAGAGGGGGGAGGGAAACATAGGAAGAGGGGAGGGAAACATAGGAAGAGGGGGAGGGAAACATAGGAAGAGGGGGGGAGGGAAACATAGGAAGAGGGGAGGGAAACATAGGAAGAGGGGGAGGGAAACATAGGAAGAGGGGGAGGGAAACATAGGAAAATTACTTACCCACACGCATATCAACAGTTTTCTCCAAATTCTCAACCCGTTCAGAGAGTTTACCCAACATAGAACGAAGGAAGCCAATTTCATGCTCTTTAGTAACTAAAGAAAATTGAAGTTCAGCAATTTTTTCATCAGTTCGTTGTAAGAAATCTTTCATGCCTTCAAATTTACAAGTTCGCAAGTGTACAACAAGGTCGTCTTGGGTTCCAATAAAATCACAGCTGAAATTGAGGAAAACTAGTTTACAGTCAACATCTAAAGTTAAAAAATGCCTTTTAAAAACAAAACACTATGTTTAATTAAAGTGGCAGAAGTGGATATTTTTTTTTACCTGCCAGAAACCGAACTTTTAAAATCTTTTATTGACCTGCTATAAAGTTCTGTTAGATAATGTAACAGTTCAAATGTCTGATGGCAAATTCTGGAGTTTCAAATCAATCATCATGAGATATTTAGCACTAATACCTAACCGGTCATAGCTGGGGAGAGAAGAAGAGGATTCATACCTAATACCCTTGGGTAAGGTATGAATCCTCTTCTCCCCTTCGCTATTTCTTTATTATTATTTGTTGTTAACATTCACTTTTTTTTTATTCTTTCTTCTTAATCGTTTTGAAAATTCATCTTTATTCACTATTCTCTATTTTGATTCGCTAATAACATTCACAAGAGCAGCTCGGTTTGAGGAATCGGAGAGCGGAGTTTGAATTTCAGTCGAATATGTGCATTCACTTCTGTGCTAATACCCTTGGGAAAGGTATGCATCCTCTTCTCCCTCCAGCTATGGGTAAGTAGCAGGACAGACTGGGTTCTATAGCCTTGGATGGCAACTGGCCTACTGCAGAAAGAAATGGCAACCTGTTGCGGGGAAAAATTTGCCTTTTCAGTCATGTATTGAAAGATACATGATCGCCTAAGCATGTATCACGCATGGTACATAACTGACTGACCCTTACCATGTATTTTGAAAGACCATCTGCAAGTTAAGAAAGGAGACTTGTTTTTAGATCTAATTGAGTATGTTAGACATTTATTTTTTAAGTTATGGAAAATGCAAAATTGAGTACAAGGAAGAAAACACCATTTCATAAAAGAAAACAACAAAAAAAAAAAAAAAACAGAACAGAATATAGCTATGTCATAGTATTAAATACATCTGACTAAATAGGTTTGAATTTTTTAAATAATAAAATTTCAGCTATTACAAAGTTCAAGAGCCACTCAAGCTCTGTTAAAATTAACTGGTTATTGTTAAAATGATGATGAATGTGTAAAAGAGGAGGCAGTAGAAAGTGAGGATTATAAGGATAGATAACACTTGACCCTTGATTTGAAGAGGTTAGTATTGTAGCGTTCAGGGAAGCATCTACGTGGGAGTATGTTCCACAAAGTAGCAGTTCTTAGAAAAAAAGCTGTGGAACTTTTTCCTTTACATTTTGATATATTGGGGAAACGAGTATGATTCAGCTCTGTGGAAGTAACATGGTGTAGTAACAAAAGGCTGAATTTGTGGAAGTAAAGAATAGAGCTCATCTGAACATTTGCCATAGAAATAGTGAAAGAATAATGATAGGCTTGCAATGTTGCATCAGGAAAAGAGGCCACAGAATGGACAATATGTCTGTGTAAATGATTTTTGTAATTATCAAATCTAGAGAGTGAGAATTTAGCAGTTCCAGCCCAGATATGGCAGAAATACAGCAATGGATATTTCTATCATACTCAAAAGCCAGGTTTTATAAATTATATAAAACCGTTAAAAATGCGGTTGGTCTTCTTATTTTTGCTTAACTTCAAAATCAGTATAACCAACATTGTAAATAATAATAAGAGCTAATTCACCCTCAAACCAAATATCTTCCAAGTATTATACGGGAACAGGAGTTACTCGATATGGTAGATGCCATAGACTATCAATACATGTACCTAACCTAATTCCATAGTACTGTCAGATTATCTACTCAAATATCATTATCATGACTGTTATAGGTACTAGTTCAGTACCCGACAAGAGGATCAAATTTCAAATCTGAATTGTTTGTCCAATTAAAATACTATACTTAGAAAATATATTCATTTTAAATACAGGACTAATAAAAATGGCTTCAAAGTCATTGTTGCCAGTCAAGAAAGGAAATTAACTTTCACAAAACAGATGACCATTTCAGTTTCATTCAAACTGTGTGTAGAGGGGCCATGTATATTTTAATTCAATGACAGACTTAAAAATAATTAAAAAAATAAAATAAATTTAATGAATGTATATATTTCCTGATTAAAAAAATAAAGTTCACCCCCACTGACAAGCTTTGATTTTATTGCTCAGGCCAGGGTATAAATTGCGCAGACTGAGTGAGAAGGGAATGCATTATTTCAATGTCTTATTTTAAACCCAATCAAACTGTATGTGAACATTTGTCCATTAAATGGCACAAGCCAATGTCACTCACTCATGCATGACACAGATATACACATATATATTACCTATGTGGATGCAAAACACACACAGATGGTGTTTGACAGAGAATCAGCTCCGATTTTCTAGTACAGATTTTCATTAAATTATGTTAAAAGTTAAAGCTGACTGTTCTGAGATGAATATCTTTGTTTAGCACTCAACTCAAGATGAGGAAAGGAACTTATGTTATTAGATACAAACTAAAAGTGATAGACTATGTTAAGGACCATTGAAATCAGTAGCATAAGTAGAAGGTGGGTGAGTGGTTCACCCTGGGTAACACTTAATATGTATTTAAATGGCTTATCTTAAACAATAAACATTATCCAGTGATATATTGCTGACAATGTGAAACCTATACATTTAATGCCACAGCACCAGTGTTTATATGGGAGACACATCTTGGTTATGTAAATTTTTCAGTTATTTTCCTTGGCAAAGTTTGTTTGAAGTTATGTGTTGCATTTTTTTGGGCATATATATATATATATATATATATATATATATATATATATATATATATATATATATATATATATATATATATATATATATATATCTCTATCTCCCCCCAAGTATATGATTGGTGTATACGGAATAAATTCCAATAACCAACAATTACTATTCTTAAAAGAGTGCTCAATACAGAGTAGAGAAAATATAATTATTTATTTAAAAATTATAACAAATATGTTATAAAATGACTACAAAAATAGCCACAATCTACATTCAACATCACCACTTGATAAGACACCAGAGGTGTTGAAACAAAATGGCTATTTTTGTTGTGATTTTATAACATATTTATGTTATAATTTTAAATAAATAAATATATATATATATATATATATATATATATATATATATATATATATATATATATATATTATATATATATATACCTGTTCATCAGACATCAAAAAAATATCAATTTAAAAAAATAAAAATTGACAGCTGTCAATATACCTCATAACACCCTCAAGTGCTTAGCCTTGGAGGGGTAGAGCGGAGATCAACAGGTTTTAGTGGACTCGGCAGTTTTCAATCTGCTAATCTGAATTGTCTTCAAGAAGTGAGAGCAAGATTTAAAAGGTCAGCCAATCTAACAGTGATCTCATCCCATAATCCTCACTCTTGCTCCAGATGTGGCCTCCTTTGTAAATCACTAGTGGGTCTTAAGTGCCACTCAAGATTATCACACAAAATTCATAACTGAATCAATTAGTTGTCAGATCTTCATATGTCAAAACTGCTGGGAGAGTCCATTATATATATATATATATATATATATATATATATATATAAGGAGTCACTGTACAATATCTTGCTTTTGGGAGGAGCGTGTGGGTAGGGCGAGGGTTTGCAAACTCAAGGGCTGCCCCCAGAATTACTCACTCTAGCTTCACCACTGATAGATGATAGATAAAATAATTGTTTTTATTTTGTATTTCCTAGATTATTCATTTTTTTTTTTTTTTATTAATATTTATAGAGTGATAGCAGGATTTTTTTTTCTGGGGCGCTGCCTCCAATAAGAATAATATATGGATGAAGAAAGCAGAAGCAGCTGCTATCTATCAAAAAATGTGATCTTCATTGTTTAGAGTGTGGGTGTTAAATGAAAGGAATTTAGAGGAAAGTATTTTTATGAAATTGAGAAAAAAAAAATTCTTAATATTTCTTAATGAAATAATGTGAAGGTCTTTTATGCCTTCAAACATGGTGAATTGTTGAGATTCATACTACTGATGTCCATATCTATATCTTTGTCTATGTTTCTGTGGTTTTTAATTTCTCTATATTCTAAAATTCTTTTACAAAGTAAATACCTGCATTACTTGATTCTTGTTAAATATTTAAATTTTGAATCTCCCCCGAAATCATTTATCTGTTTATAACATGGCTGTTATGTTTATTTAATACTCACCTGCCAATATATTTCAAGTTGCAATGAAAAGATCCTGACAAATATGTAAAGATTTTACAAGTTTCAAAATGAAGGCAAAAAAAAAAAAAAAATTCAACCATTATATTATTTAAGGAGAAAAAAAAGTTCTCTACAAGACAACAGCTCAATATTTGCATGAAAAACATGAAACTGATCAAAATGTAATTTGCCTTATCTCAGCTGATGTCTTGAATAGATAAAGTAATTTTTATTTTGTATTTCTTAGAGTATTCATTTTTTTTATTAATATTTATTTGGTCTTAATTTCAGTTACTGCTTAATGACAGTTTTTTTTGAGTTGGGGAAAAAAGCTTAAAAAAAGAACTGTAATTAAACAGCATATATTGGAAATAAACAATGATTACAGAAAAATGATTTGGGGGTTGGATTGAAAAGCAATTGAAATTAAAATGAAAGAAATACCAGTTAAAATTATTAATAATTGACAATACATTTTTTTTGTTTTAATCATTTCACTCCATGCCACTAAGACTCAAAATTACTGAGTGAATGAAAATGAGAAAGGTGTTAATGAGGAGAAGAGACAAAAAGAAGAGGATTCAGGAAGACAGAAACTGACGACTGATGTTACACTTAAATTTTTGAAGATTGTAGGTGGCAGGGAAGCAAAAGGCTAGTAGAGAATTCCACAGGGAAGAAGTGTAAGAAACTATTAGAAAATAACTTATGTTTACATTTAACTATTTCAACAGTAATATGATAAGACCTATTTGCTAATTTAGTACGATGCTTAAATTCATGTGCTCAAAGTACGAATGACTAAAGCTAATCAGAACTGTTGCCATGAAAATATTTATAGAAAAGACAGAAGATACATTACAGTTGAAAAGTGACTGAAGCTAAGATGTTAGGTCAAGACCAATAACATTACAGACCCTTCTTTGGATTTTTTCAAGAATCTCAAGATATATAGCAGGAGCATCAGACCACATTCAATGCATTTTCAAGTGGTAGATTTATAAACATGCAAGATAGATTCTTGCAAGAAAAAAATATCTGGCATGAAACAGGGTACCATAATTCCTTCCACTTCATATCAGTGAAAAAACATGAGATTCCGAAGGTGCAATGAGTTGCTCTGCAGGAAGTTGGCATCAGCCATGCTGATTGAAGACAAAAATGGTTCTCTAAGATAAATAAAGATAGCAGTTTCACTTTGGAGGAATTAAAATTTATGAGCCATTTCTTGCTTCAGATAACAACTGATTGAAGATCATCTTTAGGATCAGCTACCAGTTTTACTTTATTGAAGTGACTGGACTTACTATTAAGACAGGTGTAAATAGTTGTGTCATAACTATAACTTAATGACATTAAGAAGGTTGTTGATGAAGTAAGAAAAAAAGTAGGTCCAAAGAGAGAGCCTGTGGGTTATCTTAAATTAATATAAAAAATGAACAAGAGTGGCAGTAAATTTCTTGTGATAATGTCATTTGAAATAAAAAAAAATATAATGCAAGCTATATTTAAAAAAGCCTTTTTTAGAGTAAGCAGGAAAATATAAAATCAAATACCTCTACTTTGAAGATATTTTTTTTTTGGTATACTACTGATTAAGCTCTTCTAAACATGAATATATAGAAAGAAAAAAATTTTTAATTTCCTAAATTTTATTTTAAGAGTGAATTCAGTTTGCTATATAAATTAGTTTTAAATTAATCCCTCTAAGCAAGATAAAAAGAAAGAGGATAAAGTAGTAAGACTTTTATTGATTAATTTTTCATGGCTTATCAACCCTTTGCAGATTATATACAGCCAGAAAATATTTTTAGACTGTAAAAATTTTATTTTGGGGGGTGGGGGAGAGATAATGATTTAGTGCTACAAATTTTACTGATTAGTCGAAAGCTGGGGGGAGAAGAAGCAGATTCATACCTTTTCCAAGGGTATTTGCAGGCAAACTTGACTGGAATTGAAACTTGGCTCTCCAATTAACAATTCCAAGTTATTATTCTTTATACCGGCCACACATCCAAGCTTATTGCACCTGGTATTCCCAAGCAGTCACCCATCTAGGTACTGTCCAGGCTCAATGTTGCTTAACTTTGGTAATCATATGGGGGCTTGTATTTTAATGTGATATGGCTGTAAGCCCAGGAAGTAAGGGAAATACTACTACTACTACTAATAATAATAATAAAAAAGCAGATGTGGACCAACAGAAAATGCATCAGTTGCTGAGGAGCACTGGGTTGAAAGCTGAGACAGAAAGCCTAATTATTGCAGCTCAGGACCAAAGCCTTGCAACCAGATCCTATCAAGGATGGAAGTAACCCAAAATGCAGGATATGTGGAAAATATGATGAAACTGTTGACCAGATTATCTCAGGATGTGTCCAGTACTAGCAAAAAATGAATAAACCCACAAACATAAGGTAGCGACATATGTGCACTGGAAGATATGCAAGAAGCACAAAATCAAAACCACTGAGAGATGGTATGAGCCCCAACTAGATAAAATTATCCAAAATAATGATGCAACTATTCTCTGAGACATGCAAATTCAAACTGATAAGGAAATAAAAGTCAACAGACCTGATATTATCATAAAAGACAAGAAATTCAGGAAGTGTATGCTTATTGACATAGCAGTATGATCTGAGAGAAACACCCCCATGAAAATTATAGAGAAATTGTCCAAATACAAGAACCTGGAGATCAAGATTAACAGGATGTGGAGAATGACTGTACCAATAATAATCAAAGTTCTGGGCATCATGAGAAAAGGAATGGACAATTTTACTAACAGTGTCCCAGGTAACATCAACATACAAGTTCCCCAGAAGATCAACCTACTAGGTACATCCTATAAAGTAAGAAAAGTGCTATCAATTAAATAACAATTCTCCTATAGGGAGAAATCGCCTAAGGACTATAGTTTGAACTTGGCTCTAAAGGATACAAAGCAGGAAACATAACATAACCAAATGATAATAATAAAAAGTGAAAAGGTAAGTAAAAATATTCTTTAAATTCATATTTCATAACTATTTTGAAATTATTTGAAATTTCATGTGTAAACATTATTTTAACACAACACAGGAAAAAGTAATAATATCCTTTAAATACAATAAATATTCATTTATGTAAGGAGAGAATACCACATGTTAGGATACTTCTTTTGTTTGTGTGGAGGATTAATTTATAATAAATTTATATAATTAAATGTACCCACCCTTTAATGTGCTGTGTCAATTCAGGATGTTGGTGATCATGGCTCTCCACAATTTCCTGTTTTTTGTAGCACTTAATAAATTTTATTTTTTTGTTATTTCTCCTAAACCTTGCTCTGCCATCCATTTACTCAAGCTCACTAGTTAGGTTACACATGGTTTTCTGCGGTTTCATGTCCAGCTGTTTCAATGCTTTCTGCATGTAAGCTGAAAATTCTTCCTCCCTCCAGTAATAAATTTACATTAACAACACTCTCCTGAAAGTTCCATTATATAATTATTCTATCAACCAGAATAAATTTTATTCTTAAATTTAATCTGATTTCTAATCATCATTATATCTCCATATACTTGTCTCCAAAATTTAAATGATTGTTTATTTTGGAACTGCAATTCATATTCTATACTCAGGATATTTCCACAGCACGGGATGTGACCAGACTTTGTTGCCTTAAATGAAACTACATACAAAATGTTTTTATTTGTACATCAATAGAAACATGAATGAAAAGTTCTCATTAATTAGGGGTGGCTAAAAATTCTGTTTAACTTTTCAATATGGGAATAGAATGCATATTTTATATTAATAATACAGATAAAAAAAAAAAGTCTTAAAACAAACAAAAGTCCTTATTACTATAAATGCTATATTTGGTGGATATGAACGAACAAACAAAGAACAATGACATTTTTTATGTCTACTGGCCTGGGCATTTGAGAATCTTAATATAGAAATTGTGCCTTTTGGCAACTAGGTGTGCTTTATACCACTCAGCTATGAAAGACTTAACAGCAAAACCAATCTCAGCTTACTCTTTTTAAGAAATGCACATCTCTTGCTGGGACATTTCAAAGCCCATATGTGTTAACATTATTTTCACATTCAAAATGTAAATTAATTTCTAAGGAATTAATGGATTTTATTTATACTCCAACATTATTTCTTATAAACATTATATTTAGTGGATATGTGTATTTAAGTAAACATCCCTGTTTGTTTTTTAAAGAATAATTCACATCTAATGTACAAATTATATGTGAAAGATATAAAAACAATAAATATGATAAAGAAAAGACAAGAGGGAAACCTTTTATGCCAACACATTTTGTTCCTAGAGGAAGTTTATCAGAGTAAATGTAGAAATTTCATTTAATAACCTGTTTTGAACCAGTGTGCTTTAGACTGCTCAACCACAGAGAGTGTCACAATCCAGCAAGGTTCTATTTTCCCTTTTAACGAATGCACACTTGTTCAGAATTTTCTCAAAAGCTCAGTTTTGTATTTGAAATGTAAACAAAGCAATTTGTAAAGGATTGATAGATTAAAAATAAATCTGTTAATACTTTAAAAATTACTTTGTTTATGTTTCACATATGAAACTGACAAAATATGGACATTCTAGAAAAAATGAGGAAATGCACTTTCCTTAAAAGGGAAAATAAAACCTTGCTGGTTAGTAACCGACATGGAAGCAACATGGCAGGAGTAACATCACTATCCATAATTTTTGAGAACTTTACTAAAGATAACATTACTTATAAAAATGTTTCTTTTCTGGCCTCTAAGTCTACTATTTTAACTTAAGTTTCACAGTGTTCTGCTGATAAAAAAGCAGCATAAAATTATTCACAGCAAATCTACCTTTATTATGCATGGATTTATTCAAACTGATGTCTTAATCTTCATTGTTATCACATTTCAAGTGCCGTTCATATTTGGTTATGTTTTCAATTTCAAAATGAATCTTTTAATGCAATAGGACAAATTGTTCTCATTCCAGTGAACCAGAGTATATGAATTTTACTGCTTAATCCAGGGACTGAACTCACAACCACAAGATAACATTTAATGCTTATATCCATTAAATCATTGTAGGATTTAGGTAAATAGATATATAGGGATGTTTAGATCCCAAAAACCATATGTTGAAGGTTGTAATTCCAAGGGTCATAAATCACTCTTGCAAGTCCATTAGAAGATGCTGGGGAATGGGGTGCATAAATCAAAAGGGTAAAAAAAAAAAAAAATCCACATTTCAACTCATAATGCACAACTACATTCTTCACCTATGAAGAGCTAAGCAATGTTGTGATCCAAAAGTAGCATTCTTTTATTGGGAGGTAAGAAAGGATGTAGTTGGTTGAGACTGTTAGGGGGCACAAACAATTACCATATTTTGAGGCCTAATAAAGTTGACCTGATCTTGATTCAGATTTTCTTTTTCAAACATAGAACACACATTCTCTTTTTGAGGTAAGACTTGGTTTTATCCTTTGTTGCTACAAGGATAAATGGTTTTGATTTGAAATTTTGAGCATTACCCAATGCTGTAGGCACTTGAAGGCAACATATGACATGTTTTGACTAACCAATGGGAGACAAAGAAGAATTGAAGAAACTAGTCAATGGTGTTTGAGCTTGCTTGAAACAGAAAGTAATCAAGATGAGATCACCAAAATCATCTCAGATATTCAGAAAAATATTTCAGCTTTGTTGAAAGTTTTGCATTTGATTTTATTTATTTTTATTGAATTGAAGGAAAATCATTAATAGATTAGTGAGTAGTAAGGTAACAGTACAGTCTAATTTTTTGAAGGACAATAGAAAGCCTTACATACTCTAAGTATATAGATAACAGGTGTAAATGAGTATATTAATAGAATAATGAATTCTTTTCATATTTACAGCAAGTGCCAAACAAAGTCTAGCTTTTTATTTACTTGATATTTTAAAATTGTTATAGTTCCTTAGTATAACTTAGAGAAATTGACAGGTACTATACCTTGCCAAGGGTTACCTGGAACTATGCAAGGCTGGGGTATATACAGGTGAGAGAGAGAAACAAGAAAGGTTAAGGTTTTTGCTTGTTTCCAGTTTACTTACCTGTATTTCTGATGAGGACAGGTTACATTATTACAAATTTTCAGATGACTTTCTAAATCCTAGAGTTAAAAATAAAATAAACATTTTGTTAACTAAATGTAGAAATATAAAAATACAGAAAATCTGGTACTTATAAATCTGTATGGATGTGTGTATATCCAGCTCTTTTCTTCCAGAGAGCTGCACAGGTCCCCATCAGTGTTCTGCAAAACATTCAACATTAAACACTTTGCAGTACTAAAGTCAGATACATTGGATTAATTTTAATGGCTACAAATGAATATATTGAACAGTATATAATTAGCTCCCTTTATCTATTGATGACAATCAGGCTACTAGATAAACATAATTAATAAATAATTGCTTTGAAATAGTGAAACTGTCTGTTATACTGAATATTAATTTTCTCACTGAAGACCCTAGCTGTACAATAATAAATCTGTAGAACTGCATATTTAGAAATGCAAAAGCAGGAGGCACATTTATCATTAAGCAATCAATCTGAGTCCTTATTAAAAAGGTTCAAACATTAATATTAAAGTTAAAAAAAAAAAAAAAAAAAAAAAAAAAAAAAAAAAAGTGAAAGTGGATATTTTGCTATAAAAATAGATAAACAAAAATAAAATTAATAAAACCATAATCTAATTCTTTCTAGCCTATATTCAAATCTGTGAAATTGCAAACTGGAAAAAAAAAACAAATAAAACATGTTTACTAGTTCAGATTTAAAACTGAATAAATATAAAAAAAAAAAACATTACTTTATAGCTTTTGAACTTTTAATTAATAAAAACACAAAAACAACCTCCCAAAGTATTGTTTTGTGTGTGCATATATATATATATATATATATATATATATATATATATAAAAAATATAGAGATGAATATAAAAAAAAAAACAATAACTTAGCAGATATAAACTGCATAAAATCATTATCATATGTTACTGAATTTTGCAAAATTTCCAGAAGTTTCTCCACCAGAAAATACAGAATGGCATCAGCTGGATTATCAGAGGGCTTACAAATATTATTGACCCTAATCAAAGTCATGACATGCTCCAATTATATACCAAATACAGCTGCGGCTTTGCAATATAGATTTATGGCTTGCAATGATTGGACAGATTTTCATCAAATTTACAATCAACCAGGAGCCATTTGCTTCATATAATTTTTTAAACAAAGAGAACTCATACAGTGATACAGAATTACATTGGAAAATGAAAATTTATTATCTATCAATCCTTGTGAGATCAGTATACTTCTGATAAAAGCAAAAGTGCTTTAGAAGTTAGCAAAAAACCATTTCAACACAAGATTAATTAAAAAAACTGAGAAGTAAGATAAATTATGTTTCTATTTTAAATGCTTATTAATATCAATCTCAGAATATGAATGATGAGGAAGTTTTGGTAAAAAGTTTAGAAAATGGAAATTAAATCAAAATGAATATAAAAATGATCCAAACAATGGTTAAAATCCAATAACCATGTTAAATATCACAGTTATAATATCATTGTTAACTCTGCAGGATCATTGCTAGTTTGATGTTTTTCAGAAGTAACAATCAGTGTTCAAATCCACCTTACAGCTGGCAGCAGAGACTGCAGAGGTTTGGTGATACCTGGGGCCAACTCCTTGATTGTATGACCCTAAGACTTATAGGGCCTAGTAGTGAGAAATGTGAGAAAGAAAGACATTTTAAATATGTAGCAACAGATGAAATATGAAATAAACAATTTATTCAAATTAGATATAAACTAAATTTTTATTTCACTCTTTGATTGGATGCCCCCCCACCCAATATGGATGCAGGGGGCCATCACACCCTCTGGTCCCCCTTCTGTACACTACTGGTAGATAGCAGCGATGTGCAGAGGTTTGATGTCCAGGGCCAACTCCTTGATTGTATGCCCCTAAGACTCAAATAGGGTGACTTATAGGGCCTAGTACTGAGGAATGTGAGAAAGGAAGACATTTTAAATGTGTAAAAACAGATGAAATATGAAAAACACTTTATTCAAATTAAATATAGGCTAAATTTTTTATTTCACTCTTTGATTGAAAAACAATTATCAATTTAAAAACTCCAAATATAAGAGGTTAGAAAAAAAAATCAGTTCATTTTGAATATTTATGCCAATTCTTGTTAACCCAGTACCACCTGTTGTTTTGAAAAGAAGATGGGTATTGCTATGTAACACCCTCTTGCACCTGTAAAATGTCGTGAAGGACCTAGTAATGTATCCTATCAATTTATTAGATCATAGGATAAATTGTTTTTCCCTTTTATTGGTTCATGTGAAAACTTAAGTCCAATTCACTGTTGTCTACTTTATGCAAAGTTAGAACTTATTCCAAATAATATAGAAAAATACTAGAACCAAAAAAAGAATACATGAAATTCACATATTGTGTAAAATTGGGATTTTACTGTCTTTTTATAGCACCTACAAATAAACCAATGAAATTTACTTTCATTTATAATTTTCTGATAATGATATAAATTAACATTGAAATGGTTAGGAAATTAACATGATTTCTTGTTTGTATGTTAAATATTAATTATCTACAAAAATGTTTTTGGAGTAACATTGTAAGAGTGGGTGGATGTAGGGATTATCATGTGCATTGTACATATGTAGTCATATTAATAGAGAGATGACAAATTAAAAGAAATATTCTCACCTTTTTTAACAAAGGAGGACAGCCTACATTGTTTGGACACTCAACAGGAGCATAATCACAGTCATTTTCATGAGCACTGAAAAAAAGAATTAAGTGACAATACTTTCAATTAGAATCAGTCCTGGGTATGACACTAAACTATATCTGGCAGCAAAACTTCTGTTTGGAAAATTGGAGGTTTTGAGCAGTGTGGAACCACCTCTTAATTTGTGTTGTTCCCAGGTCCACCCTGAACCAGGGTGGTAGCACATGTTAGGGTCCTAGTGGTGGGCAAACAGTGAACCCCCAAACAAAATCAAAACTATGAAAGTATAAAAATGCATTTTTATATATATGAAAAAAAAAAAAAAAAAAAAAAAAAAAAAAAAAAAAAAAATTATATACAAAAATTACCAATAATACATATTTATAGTAAAATTACCAAATGATAGGGCTGATTTGGCAGCCAAAAATTATCAACCTCCATATATTGATTGGACAGTTCAAACACCCAAATCCCCTACACAGAGAACAACTATTAACATATAGAAGAATAGCAGAAACTATTGCCCATCTGCTCCAACAGAGGGCGTATCAGAGTTTGATCAGCTCTGGTGGGGTCGACTTGGTGAGGTCAGTATGATGTTTGAAAGACCCGAAACTGCCCAATGATCCAATTCAGAACATCACTGACGACGCCCTCTAGCGCTAAAAGAGCGTATATTCAAAGTGAAAATTAAATTCCAGAATTAAATGACCCATGAGGAGTCGATATGCCATTAAACAAACAAATCAATCAATTAGAATCATTTTACTAGAAACAAAATCTTTTGTGTTTTATATAGGTTTTCATTATGTAGTGGACATTATTTGTGGACATGAAGTTATGTTTATTTATGTATTTAACTTTTTTAGATGTTCTTCTGCTACAAGCCCCTCGCCTGTCCTGGGTATGATGATAAACTACTCCGCGTCCTGGGTAAGACATTTATTAAAAGAAGATTAATCTCCTAGACAATATTATATTTATAGATACTAAGAGAGTTGCATTATGGAGGATTATTATGTTGTATACATAATTTACAAAACACTGAAGTATTATCATTATTTATTGTATTATATTTAAAGATATTAAATATCAGTATTATGGAGCATTATCACTGCTGTTTATATATAAGATCATACAAGATGATTTATTAAACAAATAGATTAAACTCATTTACTTTCATGATTGCAAAGATGACTAAATTCTGTCAATCTATATATAAAATTCTGTGACTTCTGTTAGTCCATCCATCACATTCTCTAAAATAGCCATATACTGACTGATCGAAACCAAATTTTGGACAGAAATGCAAACAGGTAAGTGGGTACAAAGTACAGTTGGTTTTACTAAGGTCTGTAGCCTAGCACAAATTTTCATGACTTTTTTGGAAAAATTAAGTTTTATTATTTAACATACAAAATACTCCCACTATTTTAAGAATTTAATAATTAAAATATAATAATTTTATTTAATAAAAATGCAATATTGTTTTTTGCATATCTTTAAAGTTTTTATATACAAGAATCCAGTTTCCAGTTCGCCCTGCATCTACAAGAACTATAAGCAAATCGCAAGGCCAAATGCTTCAAAATTTGGAATTTACCTCCAGAAAGAAATATTTATGCATGGCCAGTTGTATGTTGCATGCTCAAGAGTCAGAAATCCTAAGAATTTATTCTTTACTGTTAAAAAGGAAAGAAAGCAATTTTCTTAAAAAAATATTGTTTACCATTAAGCTCTATTAAAGAAATTATTAAACTGAAGTAGGATTTTTGTCAAAGCATTTTTCCAAACAAATCAGCTTATTCAAATTTTATCAGTTGTTTGCAAAATTTAATGAAATGTAGAGTTTGTAAATCTCGACAAAATGTTAGCAATAAGTTCAACAATACTAAATACTGAAGATTTCAACATGCGTTAGCATGTTGCAAAAAATTCTAGTAGCATAAAAAAGAAAGCAAGATTTGAGTGCTAGGTGCATTTGAACTTGGTATGTGTAGGCAAGGTTTCAGCCTTATTTTTTTTTTATCTGACTGACTTACTGAGACCACTCGCCACCTCCTTGCTTAATTTAAGTCACTGACTGAACAAAAAAAACAAAACAACAAAAAACAATACAACAAAAAAAAAAAAAACAACAACAAAAAAAAAAAACAAAACAACAACAACAAAAAAAACAAAACAACAACAAAAAAAACAAAACAACAACAACAAAAAAAAAAAAACAAAACAACAACAAAAAAAAAAAACAAAACAACAAAAAAAAAAAAAAACAAAACAAAAAAAAAAAAAAAAAAAAAAAAAACAAAAAAACAAAAAAAAAAAAACAAAAAAAAAAAAAACAACAAAAAAAACAAAACAACAAAAAAACAAAACAACAAAAAAAAAAAAACAAAAAAAAAACAAAAACAAAACAAAAAAACAAAAAAAACAAAACAAAACAACAAAAAAAACAAAACAAAAACAAATAAAAAACAAACAAAAAAAAAAAAAAAAAAACAAAAAAAAAAAAAAAAAAAAAACAAAAGCAAAAAACAAACAACAAAAAAAAAAAAAAAACAAAAGCAAAAAACAAACTAAATATTTCTGGCAGTAAATTTGGGGAAGGAGATCTAATAATTAAACATGCAGTTTTGTAATTTCTTCAAATTGTTTTAGTAAGTAATTTTTCTCACTCTGTACTTTTAAACCTTATTTTCAATCCACAAATTTACAAGTTAACACTCAGGATTTCTAACAGAATAGAACTATTATACAAATGGATACTGAAAAAGCTCTTTGTCTGATCCACTTTCCAAAATCTGACCAAAACATTCCCTGGTGCCGAACATGTTAAACAGTTGTCCTGGTAAAGAATAAAGGTGTCTGGTACTTACCCTCTGCTGTTTAGCTTGACAATTACAGGACATTTCGTTGTATCTACAACATAAGGCTGGCCATCTTCGGAAGGTATACAGCCATATTTACAGTGTATCACTAATTCACCGACTTGTTCAGACACAGCAATATTTGCTACAACTATGTTCAATTTTTGGTTGTCAACTGGACATGTACCTGCAAGAAAGAAAAAAAAATATTGGCTCATGGCTGTATGGTTAGAACACTGGAATTCTGACCATAAAAGTTATGTTTGAATCTCACCTTGGTCATTACCATCTTAGGAGACAATCACATGCAGCACAATTGGAAAATGACTGTAAACAATATCATAATTTGACCCAAGACTCATGAGTGAAATGGTTTTGAATCTTGTGATGATAATGGAGGATTTTTTTTTTCTATAGTAAGGTTCACCCTGTATAAGATCCAGGGGCCACTCGAGGTAGGGAGTTAAGGGGTAGTTTATATGGATAGGAGGGTGTTATGTTGGAACACACCTATTCTATAGTTAATAGACTCTCCCACCTATAATAAGTAGGAGTAGTAAGAGTAACGTGTCAGTCAGTCAGTCGATGTTGGATGACAGTTGAATACGAAAGTATCAGCAACCATGACAAGATTACTCTGCGTTATACCTATTATATCTAGTTCCTAACGTTTTGTATGTCGAACCTATTTTAGGACCGACTTAGTACAAATACAAGCCTCCACAGCGAAAACACTCCACAACAGAGGGGAAGATAATGGTTTACTCTAATCTTGAACAGGTTAAGATTGTAGTGATTGGTGAAACATCCTCTTGGGAGTCAGTTCCACTGAGCAGTGGTTTGCAGGAAGAAGGTGTTCAAGTGGAACTTACTTCTCATCGATGAAATAGGGAGGGAATATGGGTGGTTTGTTACAATGTAAGTTGCATGGCAGTCCTAGAAATGAAGGTTAGACCTGGTGGAATTAAGAAATGTAGTTTGTCTGAGGTGAACCTGCTGCCTCTCTTCAACAGTGATTTGTCTATACTGGTAAATGGCATGAGATTAATGTCATATGATGGTAGTCAAAGAATATTCTTTATGAAGACTTCAAGACTCAAGCACCAAGAAGCAGTTGAGCAGGTAATTAAAAAATTGGAGGGGGGTGGCATTATATGATTAAAAATTTGATACTTAAAAGACAAAAAATAGCATCAATGTACTTTGCAGCTGAATGTGTTTTTAAAACAAAAAAAAATTTGCTCCTAAAAAATTCAGATTAAAAGAAAAAATGCTTACAATTAAGCTTACTTTTCTTTTCGTTTTTATTTTTACTTATTTTTATCTCTTTTTTTTTTCAAGACTGTTCAGAAGCCAACAATGGCTGTGTTTGAATGTTACTGGAGGATCTAGGCACCCCTACTGCCTCTCTTCAACAATGACTTGTCTATATTGGTAAACGGCATGAGATTAATATCATATGTTGATAACAGAGTGAAAGTCAAGGAATATTCTTTATGAACATTCCAAGACAAGCACCAAAAAAAAAAAAAAAGATTATTATTCTTTATATTATATGATTTGTGATTATATTATTGTCACTTAGAAAAAGCATGTCAAATTAAAATTTACATTTTACCATTCAAACCAGAAGCTAATATCAATGTTTTGATATATCTATATAAATATTAAAACAATACAGGAGCCATCACACCATTTTTAATATCTTCACTTTTGGTGAATGTAGAAATTAGTTATTTGTTTTGGTTTTCCTTCTTTTTATTTTTTTTAACAAAAATATGAACCTGGGTAGTTAATGTGTTCATAATCTCAAATATGCCTTTTGTGTTCTGTAGTGACAAAATTCAGTTATATTGAATTTAAGTAGAAACAGAATTATACAAACTCATTCACAAAAAGATTTGAAACAAAAAGGAAAACATTGGTAAACCTACCTTCACTATGATTATTTACACATCTTCGACAGTACGTATGCTGTAAAGATATATAAAAAAAAGAAGAAAACTGAATATCAAAGAAATGATTTTATGTCACTATATATTTTATATGAGGTTAATTATCAGTTTTATTAAATTTAAGCATTTAAAAAAAAAAACAAAAACATCCAGGTATTTAAATTATGAATTCCATCATAGTAAAGTTGTGATTCCCAAAGAGGTCAGTACTGCCATTCCACACACCTCATGAGAAAAGGGGGCTGGTTGAAGGACAGTTCGAAAAAAAAAAAGTGGGTGATACAAGACTAGCATAAAAACAATTTTTTTTTTTTAATAGATCACATTTTGTAGAGCGGAATTTCAGTGCCGTTGCTTGACCAGATTCTTTCCAAGTGAAGAAACAGACTGAGAAATTACTGAAAGTGAGTATCTAAGACTTCTTTCAGCCTGATGCTGAGAAACTGATATCCCTGCACTAAGTGAATCCATCTCATTAAAACTGTAAATTTACCCTTTCATGTTGCTAAACCAGTAAAATGAATTGGTTAACTTGGTTAACATGATTTTTGTGAAATACATATGCATGCATAAAGTGTTAGGCTAGTTGTTGTTTTGAATCTACAGTATACCCAACACCAAGAAACAAATATCTTCATATAGATGTGGGGAGGGTACGAGGGATGTGGCTTGGGAACCAAGGAGTTGGCAACTAGAAAAAGTTTGGGAAAGCTGATAGGTAACTCTTCTTTGCTTAAAAAGGTGACCTGTTCAAGGTAAAGGATTTTAATCTTTTCATAAATGTCTAATACAGACATAATGGGTTTTCTCTTACGACTCAAACAGACAGGAATTAGAAAAATATACTTGCATTTCTTTGGACAAAAATTAAAAAACAACATGAAATAATTTATAAAAGTAAATTTTATGAAATCAAATCTTGATATTTTGTAAAATATTACCATTGACCCTCTATTATATATATATATATATATATATATATATATATATATATATATATATATATATATTGTCAATTTTATATGTAGTTGAATAAAGTTTAATCATAAAATCTAGTCGTGTGTACAGATTTCTTTAATTACATTAAACCAAGTGTAAACCTAAGGTCTTCTTTCTAATTGCAACACCAAGTCATTCTGGTTAAAATACATTAGTGAATATTTTACAAAACTTAGCCTCATAAAGATTAAATTGGGAGAATTTTATGGTCTATTACTCCCTTACAGCTTAATTAAAGCTAAAAAACATTTTTGATAGTAAGAACAAATTCTTTTTTATGAGTGAATATTGCTTTAACAATTTTTTGGGAGATAATTATTTTTCCAGATACTATTTAACCCATAGCTGTGGAGGAGATGGATTCACACCTTTCCTAATGCCATTTGCATGTAAGAGAATGTGATGAACTTGACTAGAAATTGAACTCGGCTCACCTTTTTTGTTTTTTTTCATTCTAGGCTGTTATCTATTACATTACACCACACACACACACACATCCACAGATGTTTGGCAAACAGATCAACTTACCCCACAAGAAACAATGACTGGGTCTTTAAAAACTCTGTTACATAGTCGGCAGAAAAGTTTCTTATTGGCTTCTCCTTGGAATACAATTATTTCCTAAAAAAGCATTTGAAGAAGACAAATTAATGAGTGACATTTGAGGTTTTTGATTTAAGAGAAACAAAGACAGAAAGAAGTAAAGAAGAAGTAAAGAAGAATAAAGGGAAGATTGAAAGATAGTAGCTGAGGATATGAAAAATTGAAGAGAAGAGAAAAAGATTCAAAGAAAAAGTAAAGATAAAATAATAATAAAAGGCAAGAAACATTTTAAAAATACTATGCACATGAAAAAACATATCTCCGATATATTGAGCTTAAAGTTGCTAAAGAGTTATTGAGTGTGTTTTACATAATAATAGCTGGCCACTTGTATTCGAGGATACCCATCTATTAGGGTGGCTAGCCAATCACTATTGCAGATGCTCACTCAGGCACATTTGTGTTTGTTCAACACCTACAGAACCACCTGTGGTTTATGCTGCAACTATGCTGAGCAGACCTTGGAGAGAGAGTGTTATCTAGCATGACCAACAATCTGAACAAGGCCAGCATACTCAAACCCTCAGTCATGATGACTTGTGACTTCATTCTAGCACTGCTATTTACGACCCCCAAGTCTTCCATCTACCCAATTTCACTCACGCTTGAGTCAACCTGTAGTATGGTTTTCAGGCACTTTCCAAAGGTGCTGTATGCTGGGATTGCCCCCTCCATACTGATAACATTAGAAAGTCTCCTTCCAGATATGTGGTGTGATTCAAAAACAGATCTCATGGTCAGAAAGTGAATGTTCTAACCACTCGGCCATGCGCCCAACATTTTAAAAATATGTTGGTGCACATGCAGACTGTCTGAAATTATTATGCAAAACAAACTTCAATAACTCAATTTTTGCTTTGAAAAATTTTTAATGATTAGACATCAAAACAAAGCTTGAGTTAAAGTTTTAGGTAGTTTCAATATGTTTTATTAAAATTATTGGATTTATTATAAAAACTGCTTTCTGAACTTATACAAAAACAGAAAAATCACTTTTTACTCCAATACTAATATAATAAAATCATCAATAATGTATCAACACCTATAACAGAACAAATGACAAAGATGTTTTATATATAAATATAGTGACCCTTCTCAATAACAGCCAGCAATCTATTATCCATTGATTTTGTTAAAATGTTTACTGCAGCAGGTTCAATTTTCAACATGATTTGAATTGCTTCCCATAGATCTGCTCTGCCATCATATGGTTTGCCACCTTCATATAATTTCATTTTCACAATTGACCATAGAGTTTCAATCAGATTAAGATAAAAACTTCATGTTGGACATTCTATTATTTTTTTTTCCTGTAAACCTTTTATACTTAAAAAAAAATGAGAAAGAGCATTGTTGTGCATAAATACACACTTTACTTTGAAACTATGAATCTGGGATTTGTACCAAAGAAAATCTTGTCTGTGAAATTACAATAGTTAGTACTGTTCAGTTTAACTCCATCACATTTGAATGGTTCAATAATGTTTTGGTCAATGATTCCATATCACACTGCTACCTCCTTGCTGCCTGTTACCACAGACACATTTGCATTGGGTAAAATCCATCCTTTAGATCATCTATCAGGTCCATCAAGTGTCACCTGAGATTTACCCATGAAAATTACTTTAGAAAAATTGATTTTCATGTATTTTTTTTGATCATTTTGATGCTTTAAATACTTGCTTTACTGAGAGGAGTTTGACAAGGAGATTTCTTGATGGAACCTAATTTGTGAAGTATTGTACATCTTTTTCCTTTTTGACTCAATTCTGTTCAAAGATCTAAGCACCGGTCAAAAGTTGTTGTTTCACTATAAGTCACTTCATAGTTCTTAAAGTTTTTTCCTTTGCTTCTAGTTCTCAAATTAGTTACATTTTCAACAGTCCTCTTTATCTTTTGATGATCTCTGCAAATCTCCTTTGATGATCTCCAATGCAGACATTCCCTCACTCAATAACTTTGGTATTTTCTGTTCTTTAATATTTGTTAGATCATTTCTATTACCCATGTTTAAACACATTATGGAAAAAAAAAAGAAAAAAGAATTTTTATTAGATTTCAGAGGCCTTAGACTAATATTAGTTTAATTTGCAAAATAACTTCAGTCAGTCAATTTTCATAAATTGCAAATGATTGAAACAGAATAAGGTGGAATTTAAACTTGGCACAGCAAGATTAAAATTGGCTAAAAACTTAGGTTTAGATTTTACCAAGGGTAGAAATAGATTAGTTTAAATTTGAGAAATATTGGTTCTGGTCTTTTGGAGTTATTGATGTTATTTATATAGCTTCAGATGTGAGGTCTGTTAAACCAATGAAAAACAAACAACACAAAAAAACAAAAACAAATGAGAATTTTTTTCCCCCTCCACATTTCCTTTTCTAATGAAGTTTTAATAAAAATGAAACATGTTAAATCTATAAACATTTCATATTTGTTCCTCATCCTATCATTTTATAGGATTAGGATCTACATTTGATCTCAGTTCGTATATACAAAAGGACTCAATGAAAGTTCAGTTTAGAACTGAACCACTATACTATCCACACAGATTTGATTATAATGCTGAAGGCTTGCATAGAGGCAGCCACATGTTTTGGAAGAAATAAAAAGAACTCATGCACAGACTGCCATCAAGTTCCCAAACAGCTCTTGTCAGGATCAAATTCAGAGTCTAGACTGCTTGTCATCCAAGGCAAGAGAGCCCAATTATTTAACCCATAGTGGGAGAAAGAGCCATACTTTTTTCAAGGGCATTAGTGTTAAGTGAATGAAACAGTATAAGATGAAATTTGAACCTGGCACAGCAATTTTTCTTTCTCTGCAGATAACTGTCATAATGTATGAATGGATACATACATGGTGGTTGCCAACTCATGTCCGAGTACGGCCATTACTACTATCATTTTGTAGAAAATCTACTGCAAGGGATCTACATACTCTGGCACAAACAGTGCACTTAAGAGGTCCAACAACAGGTGGTATATTATCATGCAATTTACATATATACCTACAAACATAGATAATAGCTATTTAACAAGAATCATTAAGGTACTTGACATGATTAAATTGACATTTTGGTATAGATTATTTGCAAGGAACACCTAACAATTAAAAAGAATAATTTGTTTTTATTTTTTGTAGTTTATTATTTTTTTTAAACTTAGACAATTTTTTTTTTTAAACTGTCAACTCCTTCAGCTTAACAAACACTATTAGTTGAATATAGTCACAGAGAAATAAGATCCTCTATTAAATAAACTTACATCTTCATCATCACAATGAAGGGATCGGGCCGATACATTTGATCCAGACCGCTTGTGGCCTGTTGGGAGCTGCAAACTACTTGCACCCTGTGAAAAGATAAAAGCAAACATGTAAAAACCTTACAAATAAGCATGACAAAGTTATTTTAAAAATCACATTTATACATTATATATACATGTGTATAGTTTGTTTTTTATGAATGTAGCAGGTACTTTTGTATTTGGTGCAGGAGATATGGATTAAATCTCAGCCGAGTGTGACTTTTTTTAAAAAAAAAAAAAAAAAAATCATTCTTGTTTCTTTACTTGTATATTAGACTATAGTATATACAAATTCTGTATATAAGTTTGATCAAATATTTTCAGCCATTCATTAAGTCAATCCCTTTTACAGTCACCTACTCAGGCACGCTTGTTCAACCTGTGATTTATACTGTAACTATGTTGGAGTTATGTGTGTGTGTGTGTGTGTGTGTAACCCGAATATAAGAGAGTTGTCGGGACCGGAGAAGAAGTCTCTTATATCTGGGTTTCTCTTATATCCGGGTTTGGTCTATTTTATATACATTAACACAGGCTCTAATTTGGGACCAGAGAATATCTCTCTTATATCTGGGATAAACTGTATATGAATGAGAGAAGGAGAATAGGGAGGAAGAGAAAAGAGGACAATGAGAGAGAGGGGTGAGGGAGGAGGACCAGGAAGAGAGAGAGAGAGAAAAAAAAAAAAAAAAAAAAAAAAAGAGGGGTGAGGAAGGAGGACCAGGAAGAGAAAAAAAGGAGAGGGAGATGATGATGAGGAGGAGGAGAGAGGGAGATGATGATGAGGAGGAGGAGAGAGGGAGATGATGATGAGGAGGAGGAGGAGAGAGGGAGATGATGATGAGGAGGAGGAGGAGAGAGGGAGATGATGAGGAGGAGGAGGAGATGAGATGATGATGAGGAGGAGGAGAGGGGAGATGATGATGAGGAGGGAGGAGGAGGAGAGATGATGATGAGGAGGAGGAGAGGGAGATGATGATGAGGAGGAGGAGAGAGGGAGATGATGAGGAGGAGGAGGAGAGAGGGGATGATGATGAGGAGGAGGGGAGATGGAAGGAGGAGGAGGAGGAGAGAGGGAGATGATGAGGAGGAGGGGAAGGAAGAGAGAGAAAGGGGGTGTGAGGAGGAGGAAGAGAAAGAGAGAAAGGTAGTGTGAGGAGGAGGAAGAGAAAGAGAGAAAGGTAGTGTGAGGAGGAGGAAGAGAAAGAGAGAAAGGTAGTGTGAGGAGGAGGAAGAGAAAGAGAGAAAGGTAGTGTGAGGAGGAGGAAGAGTAAGAGAGAAAGGTAGTGTGAGGAGGAGGAAGAGAAAGAGAGAAAGGTAGTGTGAGGAGGAGGAAGAGAAAGAGAGAAAGGTAGTGTGAGGAGGAGGAAGAGAGAGGGAGGGTCAGAGGCAT